ATATGCCTATGACAGATTTCACTGTAAATAATCCTCCTCCCATATGTTTATATGCCTATGACAGATTTTACTGTCACTATTTGTAGTAATCCTCCACCCATATGTTTATATGCCTATGACAGATTTCACTGTAAATAATAAGCCTCACATATGTTTATATACCTATGACAGATTTCACTGTAAATAATAATCCTCCCATATGTTTATATGCCTATGACAGGTTTTACTGTCACTATTGGTAAATATGTTTATATACCTATGACAGGTTTTACTGTCACTATTGGTAAACAATAATCCTCCCATATGTTTATATGCCTATGACAGGTTTTACTGTCACTATTGGTAAATATGTTTATATGCCTATGACAGGTTTTACTGTCACTATTGGTAAACAATAATCCTCCCATATGTTTATATGCCTATGACAGGTTTTACTGTCACTATTGGTAAATATGTTTATATACCTATGACAGGTTTTACTGTCACTATTGGTAAACAATAATCCTCCCATATGTTTATATGCCTATGACAGGTTTTACTGTCACTATTGGTAAACAATAATCCTCCCATATGTTTATATACCTATGACAGGTTTTACTGTCACTATTGGTAAACAATAATCCTCCCATATGTTTATATGCCTATGACAGATTTTACTGTCACTATTGGTAAACAATAATCCTCCCATATGTTTATATGCCTATGACAGATTTTACTGTCACTATTGGTAAACAATAATCCTCCCATATGTTTATATGCCTATGACAGATTTTACTGTCACTATTGGTAAATATGTTTATATGTCTATGACAGATTTCACTGTAAATAATAATCGTCCCATATGTTTATATGTCTATGACAGATTTCACTGTCAATAATAAGCCTCACATATGTTTATATACCTATGACAGATTTTACTGTCACTATTGGTAAACAATAAACCTTCCATATGTTTATATGCCTATGACAGATTTCACTGTAAATAATAATCCTCCCATATGTTTATATGCCTATGACAGATTTCACTGTCACTATTAGTGGTAATATTCATGATTTATTGTGAAATTATTTTGCCTGCAGTAAACCATATTCCTAAGGATCATTAAGGAGACAAGAATGGCATTTGCAACATATGTTTGATGCATGCAAAAAAAAAATGTGTAAAGCTTATGCTTTTTTTCTGTAAAATGCAAGTTTTATTACCATGCATATAACATACATACAATAACATATGTAAAATGTGTGGCATTTCCTCCTTTGTACTGTGCATTATTACAAAAACCACTAAAAACCTTGCCACAAAAAAAATTGCATTTCACTAGACAGAGGCCCAAAAATGCCTTTTTTTCTTTTTTTTTTTATTTGTTCAGGAATTTGGTAATAAAAGAAGATCTTTGGTCTCTAAATTTTTTGTTATTTGTTAATATCAAATTTTCAATTTATGCCATTGTTATTTTCAATTGTCTATGATAGAAGTGTACATTTTTACCTGTATTGAAGGCAGTTATAAAATTAATGGCCACCTTACTAGACTGGATGATTTGGAGCTTGTTGTATGGTATAGACAGTGGTTTATTTATACTGATTGTTGAGGACTATGTATTTACCTCTGGAAGTGTAATCTGTTTTGGTTTACAGTATTGGGTTGCTGTCTCATTAATATAACTTGCACATCTTTTTCTGCATATGTATGACAATATTGAAAGCAATTGTTTTCAGAAGTGTGATATAATCACCTTGGAAGTAGAGCACAGGCTAAATAGTAGATAATTAATAACATTACAGACATTTCTGTCTGGTTGATATTGTTTAGACTATGTCTGCTTGGTCAATGAATTGATTATTGGTCAGTAATTGACTGATTGACCAGTAATTTGTCCAGATTTATGTCTGATTGGTCAGTAATAGTCCAGATGTAGTCTAATTGGTCAGTAATAGTCCAAATGTATATCTAATTGGTCAGTAATAGTCCAGATGTATGTCTGATGTTATTGCTGGTTTATGGTCTGCTTTTATGAGGATCCTTCAAGAACTTTTGTTAAATAAATCAATATTTATTCTACCTGAACATTCTGAGCTATAAAATTGATAATGCCTGGCAGTATCAAGAATAAATAGATGGAAAGGTTAAAGCAGATGAAACTTCTGACAGAAGTCTGTACCATTCGTCTGATCAAGGTTGAATGATGTATCTCAAACATTTATACTTCAACATGGATAGAATACCACATAAAACAGTTATTGGAGAAGTACCAGATTTCTGTTTCTGTTTGAAGGGAAGACAGAGGTTACTTAGCACACTGTTTATCCTGTTCACCAGATATTTAAATCACTTTGCATATTGTACTAGATCAAGAGTCAGAGAAGTGATTCTATGGAAGCTAAGAGGGTAAAAATTGATGTAATACTTTTGGTATACAAAGTTTTATTTTTATTTCTCAACACAGATTGTCCTGATTGTGTCACTTCCAAAATGCACCACTTTATTTGTTAGCCATTCACTTACCCATTGAAGGTGTCTTCCTCTAGAAATGATAATCAACCAAAGTCACATTCAAGTGTTGCCAATCTATATATTGGTTTTTGTTTTTGTAATGCCAAATTGACACTTCAGTAAATGTTATTTGTGCGTAACACTATTACTGGTAGTGATAGTGTAGATATTTCTTTTACTTGGATCATCAAAGTTCCAATAGTGTTTCCCATTCTCTCTTGAATAGCAGTTAGTTGGAAATTCTAAAGTAATTAGTTGACCAGTGATACTAGCCAGTTAACATCTTTAGAACCATGAGTTATAAATGAATTAGATGCCCTTGTGGAATATTTTCACAATTATTGTTCTACCAAAATAATTGAAAAGTAACGTAATGAAATATTTACTTGAAAATTTAATCATACTGTTAGAAACAAGGGAATAAAGCTGGTAAAGGAATAAGTTGAATTAAGGTCTATTTAAAGACAGATGTGCCATTTATTGACTTGAATTTCAGCAGGATCAATGGCTTGTTGTGATCTGTATGCTCATTTGAACACTTCACACTTCTTTTCTAAATATTGACAGATAAAAAAAAACTATATTGTTAAAACTGTTTAAGATTAGGATCAAAACTGATTTAAGTATGGCTATAAAAAAGAATAACAGGTGACTAGGAGTCAAGATTATGGTATCTCTACATGCCATCAATCTGCTAACTACTCTTAATAGTCTACATAGAAAAGATAAAAGTATCTGTACGTTAAGAAAGGACTCTTTTTAAGTTTACAATTTGAAAAGAAAGCCCAATATTAATCAAATATGGTTTTCTTACAGGATTTGATATTTATTAATCCATTTCTGCAATACCGCTAGGGTATAAATTATTACTGGTAGTGATATTGTAGATATTTCTTTTAGAGATTGGTAGATCAAAACATTTGCTATAGAATTAGGCACTTGTTTGCTCAAATCAGGTCCCCAGCAGCGAGAAAAGACTTAACATTTTTTATGGAGAGGCCCAAACAGCCACAATATGAACATAAGCCATATGAACAATTGTCAGTTAATATTTATGAGCCATACTAAAAACTTAGTGACCTAATCTAGTGGGGCCCTGCTTATCTTTTTCAATGAGGCCTCTTTGGTCTCACTTGGCTGACTTTTCTTATTTTATTATGAAATGTTTTGTTGTTTTCTGTGTTTGAAATAGAACCAATGGATAATCAGTCAGCAATTAGTAAATGTTCTCAGAACATACAAGTTGTGTCACAAATTTTGTGTTATTAATGAATAAACCTTCTTTTCTGTACTGTGTTCTTTTCAAGTGACATTGATCTGATTTCTGGTATTCTACATTAAACTAAGGTTGGATTAAAGCCTAAACAAACTGTGTACAATGAAAGCAGTCAACCTCTATTTTGTTTTAAAAATCTGCTACCGTATTAGACTTACTAAAAAGGGTGTCGTTTTTACTTCCTTGTTGATAATAAATTAGTTGTAATGTACTCCATTGATGAGTAGAAGATCAGAGAGACTCCTATGTTGTAGGTTTATTACAGAGCAGCCTGGCTAAATAATGAAATTTTAGTGTTTGATGTTACATGTGTGAAGTACACATTACATGTGTGAAGTACACATTACATGTGTGAAGTACACATCTTCCCAACATTTATACTGTTACATATTAGTGTAAGATAATAATTCAATCAAGGTTACTGACTAATGATAAGGATGATGTTTATAAATGGATTCTGGCAGCTTGCTAACAGTATGATGAGTTTTATGTATTTCTAACTATCTTATCTGCATCTCAAAAGCAAAACTAAAAAAAACAAATCATGATTTAAGAGGAAAGTTGCATAAATATGTCAATATCATGCTATAACTGCATGATATCTTCAAGTTCTGTACATGTACATATGCATGTTGAAACAGTATACCTTTGATATGGTATTCAAATTAATGCAAAATATAAAATACTTAAATGATCGTTTGTAGAATTTGATATAAAAGTAATTTCTATTTTTTTTACCATTTGATTTACACCTGCTTTCTTGTTTCAAAATTCAAATAAGGAATTCGAACAAATATTACATTAACTTAGTAATTAAACAATGCTTTCTTGACAAACTAAAGAGTGTCTGCAGTAAATTGACATAGTTATAAAGGTCTCTTGCTGAAGACCTTAAGTTGATATCCAGATATATAGTCTCTTGTTTTATTTGTTGGGTGGCTGTCATATAAACACATACACCAAATCTGCTTTTATTTATACATATCAAATTTTGTTAGATAGAGTTCAAACTCTCATTATTGTAGAGTTGTGAGAAAGTCTCAAACCCTGACCGTAGACTGAGTGGCAAATACATGTAATTATACCATTCATTCACGATCAAGGGAAGTGATCTGAGCATGTACATCTTTTACAAATACATGTATCTGTGACAGTCATGCAAGATTGAAGGAAATGTCCTCAGCAGGTAGATGTCAAGTTGTTTATTGTCGTTCTTGTTATATTTTACAGGATCCATCAGACTTGGTTGACATTGAGGTCGTAGAAGAAGTTGTACGTAATGCCATTTGTCTTGCTAACACCGATATCAACATAACTAAGTGGTTGACAGGCTCTACTCAAAATCTCCCTCGCCCAGACACCACAGCCCAACCCTCCAGCCCACGCCATGTTGCAGAACCTGTGTTTGAAACAATTGAAGCCAAGGAACAACACAGTGCTGTAAGTTTTTATCTAGGCATCATGATATACAATATATTTGAATATCTTTTTTGTTTGGTTTTGTTAGTAGTTTTGAAAAGTAAAAAGCTCACATAGGGTATAAGATTTGGAGGTAAAATGTCAACCTGAAAATAGTGAAAAATTCATGATGTACTGTATATATATATATATATATGAATTGGCTGGTTTAATATCACAATACTTTTGATTTGCTCTTTAAGAAATGATAAAGAATACAATATGCCATGATAATGTGCTTTATATTTCACACTTTCTTGTGTTATAATACAAACTGCATTAGAAGTGGATTGTGCACAGATAACTATGAGTTCCATTTAAGTGCATTAAACACACCATCAATAATAAATTTTGGTAAGACAGACAATGATCAATCAATAAACAAGTCCTAAGATGCAGCTTGTTTGGTAAAGTCCCTTTACATTTTTCTTAGTTAGTATTCATGTTTACATTATAGTTCCATGCTCCACCACAACAGCGAGTGCAGCGATCCATGTCTGGTGACAAAAGGTTACTGGTTAAAATAATCAAAGCAAGTGGACTTGGATCAAAAGGTTTGTAAAATGTTTTTATAATGTGATTTCCGGATGGCCAGTACGGGTTATAGTTGTTAGATGACAAGTTTGTTGTTGAAAGTTGATATGAAGTGAATATACCACATTGAAGATGGTTTTCAATGTAAACCCTACTTTAGTTTATAGGCAGCATATGACATCATATAGGTACCTCAGAATACATCCAGGGTACCAGTACATATATGTACATTGATGTTGTATGTAATCATTCTTTTACTGTAAACCAACTAACTTTCACTAGCAATTCATTACCACAATGTTACATGACTTTTGCAGGTAGAAATATAAGGCAAATATAAAACTTTGCAAATATGTTAAAGTTTCATATTCTCTCGTATGAATACATCAACAATGATAGAACATTGCCAAAATAAATCATGGTGAAGTCTACTTGACATGGATGAATAAGAAAAAAAGTATCCATGAAATTAAGTTTGTTAACAGTATTCTTGGATCAAAGATAATCTGACAAGTTATTCAAACATTCCTAGTTTATGGAACTTGAATTGATAAAATAGTTTTCAATGTTATGGAGTTAAAACCCCTGTTTTAGATACACCTATGAGGGTGTTAGCTTGATTGGGTAAATCTTTAACCCACCATTTTCTTTGGAAAATTCCTGTACCAATTCAGGAAAATTCCATTCATTCTGTTGGTTGATAATAGTTGAGCTTTTGGTTTTGTCAATTTTATGGACTTCCCCTATTTTAAGCTCACCTGGCCCAATGGGCCAAGTGAGCTTTTCTCCTCACTTGGCATCTGTCGTCCGTCGTCGTCCGTTAACTTTTACAAAAATCTTCTCTGAAACTACTGGGCCAAATTTAACCAAATTTGGCCACAATCATCATTGGGGTATCTAGTTTTAAAAATGTGTCCGGTGACCCGGCCTGCCAACCAAGATGGCCGCCATGGCTAAAATTTGAACATAGGGGTAAAATGTAGATTTTGGCTTATATCTCTGAAACCAAAGCATTTAGAGCAAATCTGACTTGGGGTAAAATTGTTCATCAGGTCTAGATATATCTGCTCTTAAATTCTCAGACAAATCAGACAACCTGTTTTTGGGTTGCTGCACCTGAATTGGTAATTTTGAGGAAATTTTGCAGTTTTTGGTTATTATCCTCAATATTATTATAGATATAGATAAACTGTAAACAGCAATAATGTACAGCAAAGTAAGATCTACAAATAAGTCAACATGACCAAAATGGTCAATAGACCCCTTAAGGAGTTATTGCCCTTTATAGTCAATTTTTAACAATTTTTTGTAAATTTTTGTAATCTTTTACAAAAATCTTCTCCACTGAAACTACTGAGACATATTTAACCAAACTTGGCCACAATCATCATTAGGGTATCTTGTTTAAAAAATGTGTCTGATGACCCGGCCTACCAACCAACATGGCCGACATGGCTAAAAATAGAACATAGGGGTAAAATGCAAGTTTTGTCTATTATTTTTTGAACCGTTATAAATAGAGAAAATCTGAAAGGAGCAAAAATGTTCAGAATAATTAGCTCTACCAATTGTCCATATACGTCAAAACTGTTGGACAAATTCTTATAGGAGTTATTGCCCATAAATGACAAATTTTACCATTTTTTTCATTTCTGCCTATAATCATATAATCATGAAAACTATGATATTTAGAGAGAAAAACATTTTATTTCCGTTATACCTTATATGATTTTAATTATAATAGATAAATAAACACTTTAAATCACAAAAATGATCAGCAAGGCACGATCTATTAAAAAGTCAAATTTTGCCTATATAGTTAGTCGACTGTCACTCTTCATAGGAGATTGCCCTTAAATGAGGATTTTTTTTACCCTCTTTTGTGTTTTGAGCAAAAACTAAAGAAGATAGAGAGAAACTAAACAGACTAAAAGATCAGTAATACATGATTAACAAAATAGAGATTTTGTCATGAAGTCTATTCTCTTCTACAATGTTGGAGAGTGTCCTTTGTTTGAAATGCACATAGACCAAGGTGAGCGACACAGGCTCTTTAGAGCCTCTAGTTGAATTTACCTTATGTATTTTTGCTAACTCTTTTATTTTACACCATGCTATTATGGTTAATGCAAAATGATAGCTTTCAACAATTGAGGATCCCTTGGGGTCTTTCATCAATTAACCTTATTTCATGGTAAAGCATGATAAATGTAGGATATCCAATTGAATTACATGGCATTGATGGTGTTAATGATAATATAAAATCAATTAATGTAGATGTATCTGCTTAAGACATATGATATATTATTGACTTAATACCATTATAAGAAACTTAGATAAAAATTATTAAAAATCTGCAGATCAATATGATATGAATTGTATGCTGAAATCAATAGGATTTACTAGATCTATTTTAAAACAAAGTTTGCTCAGTTGAATGGGTTGTATCAACGATATACAAGTCTTTATAAGTGTGACAGCTAGTTTAAATGGGATTAAGCTGTATATACCTTGGGAATTGCGAAATATAGATTTTTATCAATTATTCATCTTATTTATCACTATTTGAATATTATGTCCTTATTTATTTCAAGTAGATATTTTTGTTGTTAAGATTTGATAACTCAAGGTATAATCAAAAACCTTGACATAGATAAAGATTTTTGAAAATATTTAAAAAAAATTGTTTATATACAGCTAGGAAAACATTGCAATGGAATAGGTTTTGCAAAAATAAAAACTTGCATTTTACAATTTGATAGTTCTATTTAATGCAGCATTTATTGAAATTGCAAATTTTAATCTCACTTTTTTGCCCCTTTTTCAACAATTTGAGTACTGAATACATGTAAAAGTTTCAAAAAGTACATGACACAATATAATGTAAATTTTAATTGTTTCCCTTCGCAAAGAATCATCAAATTGGAAACAATGAGTCCAAATGGAAAAAACTTTTAACATAAAATTGCACATAATACAGTTTCAAAATAAGGTACCATAATTTGCATCTTTATTTGGAGAAAGAATTTTGCATTGATGTCTCCAAAACTCCATCCCTTAAAAGTTGGGTAGGTGGGAACCTTACCAATTTTCAGATTATATTATGTTCTGAAAGGGTTTTTGACACATTTTGTGATGATGTGATCCATAAGTCAGTCCCACTAATATGTTGTATACCTATCATTCACTTAACTGATTCATTCAAATATTTAGATCCTGTTTCTTGTTATTTTAGAACAGGGGAGGTCACTATTCAATTTTCTAATAGTGAAAAGCAGTGCTTACACATAACTATTTCATAGTAAGCTTTTTAAATGGCATGAAGCTAGTTTCAAATGATTTTTATGCCCCTGCCTTAGCAGAGGGGGCATTAAGTTTACTCTTGTCCGTCTGTAGGTACGTACGTCCGTACATCCCAAAATTGGTTTCAGTTCTCTAATTTTAGTTGCTGAATTTTTGTTTCTGTTAACTAACTTTTATCGTTTCAAGAGTTATGCCCCTTTACAAATGGAAAAATTCAGCATTCTCTAACTTTAGTTTGTCTCAACCAAATGTTATGAAACTTACACGCAATGCTTATTACCACAAAACACAGATCTAGTTTGAATTTTGGTGTTGTCACTTGTACCGTTTTAGAGTTATGCCCCTTTACAAATGGAAAAATTGATGAATTTTCGTTTCCGTTCTCTAACTTTAGGTTGCCTCAACCAAATGTTATGAAACATATACACAATGCTTATTACTGCAAAATACAGATCCAGTTAGAATTTTGGTGGGGTCACTTTTGCTGTTCTAGAGTTATGCCCCTTTACAAATGGAAAAATTGCTGAAATTTTCGTTTCCATTCTCTTACTTTAGTTTGCCTCAACCAAATGTTATGAAACCTATACACAATGCTTATTACCATAAAACTCAGATCAAGTACAAATTTGGGTAGAGTCAGTCTCACCCTTCTAGAGTTATGTCCCTTTATAACATTATATGCAAGCGGGGGCATCATCTGTCCTATGGACACATTCCCTTTTCATTTTTATGGCATTTAATTTGGACAGACATTAAGATTTAGACAGAGAAATAGCTTTTGTGGTTTTTTAGTATTTCATGCTTGTTTAATGTCATGTATATATATCCCATGTCTCTACTTTTCTAATGAGTGTTTGAAAAATATAGAAGAGAAGAAACTACGTCTTCAATATATTTAATGTCCTTGAACCACAAATGGTACCCAATAATGGTACTATCATAATTTATCTTCCCAGATAACATGACTACTGGTTTGCGGTAAAGAACTTTTAATTTTGATTTAATTTTACTGATTTCAGCACAAGTTGACCCAACTTGTTTGGTTTACCTGGACACACCTGCTCAGACTTATTCCACCAATGAATGTAGAGGTACTGCTAACCCTTTCTGGGATGAACAGTTTTTGTTGTAAGTCAATTGAATTATAATAAGTGCTGCTTAAGACAAAACAAATGATAATCATCTAAACGACTTAACAAAAAAAGGAAACAAAAATTCAACACTACAGTAGTACCAAGCCAAAACCATAAATGTTTTGTGATTAATACAACATGCTATATTTTTACACATCTTTCTTTTTCATTGATCGTTAATGTCGTGTGTACTTGAAAATGCTGCATTTTGATGAAATTCTAACTTGGCATACTCCAAAGCACTGACCAAATGATCTATTAGATTAAGATTTTAGAACAGTATCTACAAGGTATATTGTTGAGAACTTTTATAAATTAAGCCAGAATTGTAAATGATTGAAAAATGACTGGAATGAAAAGAGCAAGATTCATTGTGTTGAACGATTTTCTTTTTAGTGATGTTAATCAGAATTCCAGCCAGCTGAAGTTTGAAGTACTAGACAAACGTAAGCCATCAACAGGTATGGTAAAATGGCGGACAAATTTTATTTATGTGTTTTTGTTTAGCTGCTATTTTTATTAAGGTTCATTAACATAGATACTTTAGAATAGAAAATGACTTGTATTTTAATAACCTAACAATGTACAGACTTGTACTAAGATTGTATGCAAAAAAAAGTTAAATACCTATACATATACATATAGCTATACATTGAAGGATACCTCACATCCTTTGTTTTTCTACTATATGGTGACTGGTATCTTTTTGTGGATAGTTGTCTGATTTGTAGACATACCACATCTCCTTATTTTCATATGTTATATATGTATAGCTTGTTCTCGTCAATGCCATCTGTGCATTGTTAGGTAGTCAGTGAACATGATATCCTACATCCCATAAATATCATACATATAAATTTTTATAATACTATATTGCAGTGATGAAAAAAGAGAAAATCTTTTAAAAGCAGATCAAGACTATGAAAGAGAAACCTCCTCATGATATTTCACAAAAACAACTCAAATCAGTTGTAATGTGATTGTCTGAATTGTGGTATGCATGAAAAAAATACTAACTGAAAGTCTGAAAACATGAATTTAAGAATGAAGGACACATAAAAAATCTGTAATAATTGACATCAAAGCCTTCAAATCTTACTACCACTACCCTATAGAAAGGTGCACATGATCTACTTGTACATATAGTAAAGTTTGTTGGTAAATTGTGCATATTTCCTTTGATGTGGACTTGCTGATAATGTCAGTATCAGTGGACTGGTCGTGATAAAAAAATTATTGGGTCAATTCGCAATTGACATGCAGGAGTGCACTGCGTAAGGATTTACTTCCCCTTTCATTCTCAAAATAGCACATGATTTTTTTTCACAGAAAAGCGCAAGGTTTTTTGGTGAATCAAATACTTGTATTTATTTATAAATAGTCTGGTGCTGTTCCAAGTTGTCTTCTTTTTCTGTTTCTTGAGAAGCATTTGTTTAACCTGTTCAGTAACTATTAAGTGTTACAATTCATATTTAGATGCAACGCATAAATAGTGATAAAAAAGGTACCGCTATCACATGAGATAATCTAGAAAAAAAAATGAAATAAACACATTTTAGACATTTTTTGTGGGACAATCATATAAGAATTAAGGAGATGTGGTTTCATTGTCCATGTATAGACAGTTATTCATAGACCTTAGGGTTCACCTGATATTTTACCATGATAAAGTCAGTATCAAAAACAATAAGTCCTTTATTCTATATTTATCATGTACTCCCTGTAAGTTGGTGGTACAATTTTTGTTCACATATATAAATGATAGCTTTATAATTTTTAGCCTCCTATTGGAGAGTATATAACAAAGCAAAGACGAGTAGAATACAATTTAAACAAACAACATTATGATTTACGCAGAGTAAGTTACTCAATGGACGGTTATCATCGTCAACGGGATCACGATGAAAATGTTCAGTTGATAACATATGTTCTTTAAAGGATAGTTTGTATACTAGCAGTAGCAGTTCTGTAACAGTTCACAACTTCATATAAAAATTGACTTAATACCACTAAGACCAACTTCATATAGAAAGTGACTTTGCATCACTAAAGCTAACATCTTATAGAAAGTAATTTTCACCACAAAAACCAACTTAACATCCACAACCACGTAAAACAACTTCAAATAGGAAGTGACAACCAACTTAATATTAAAAGTGATTACCCCACACAAACTTAACACTATAGAAACCAACTTTGTATAAAAAGTGATTTTATGGCACAAAAACCAACTTCTTACAGAAAGATTCTTTACACCACAAAAACAACTTCATATAGGAAACAACTCAACACCACAACAACCTACTTTTTATAGAAAGTGACTTAACACCACAAAAAACAACTTTTTATAGGAAGTGACAACCAATTTTTGTATAAAAATGACTTTGCATCACAAGAAACAACTTCATATAGAATGTGACTTTACACCTCAAAAACTAATTTCATATAGAAAATGACTTTACACCATAAAAACCAACTTCATATAAAAAATTACTTTACACCACAAGGACCTATAAAAATATGAAGATGTGGTATAATTGTCAATGAGACAACTCTCCACCAGAGACCAAATGACATAGAAGTTAACAACTATAGGTCCACTTTACGGCCTTCAACAATGAGCAAAACCCATACCGCAAAGTCAGCTATAAAGGGCCCCGAAATGACAAATGTAAAACAATTCAAATGAGAAAAGTAACAGCCTAAAAATAATGACAATAAACAAATATGATATACAGCTACAAACGACAAACACTGAATTACAATCTCCTGACATGGGACAGTTCATTTAAAGCTTTTGCATTATATTGGCAGATTTGAAAATTGTATTACATTGTTTAAGATACCTTTAAGTAAAAAAATAAAATACAAAGAGGAAAAGACAATTATAAGTCATGGGAATACAGATAACACCATGGGCAAAAGAAACAGTCAAAATGAAAATGGTCCACAAAACCCTAAACAGAAAACAGAAATGTATCAACATGAACCCAACAAAAAGCACTGGTAAACTCTCATTCTCAGGGAAGGTAAGCAGTTCCTGTACTTGCTCCAACAGTGGTAAATCACAGTTTTAGGACAATATTTTTTATCTATTCTGATTTCTGAGCCATTCATTCATTTATATGTATGGCTAACTATGTGGCCTTTTGTAGAGAATTTTCTTGGAGAGGCAGTTGTATACTATGATGAGTTGAAGAGAAATCCAAGCAGTCGCCAGATCATATCATTGCAGGGACGCCCTGAAAGAGGAAATGATATTGTGTCCGGCTCCATAACTGTGGAGGTATGTACAGTTTTCTCCCTTGTTAAATTTCTGTGTGATTTAATAGGTTTTACATTGCTGATGAAGTGGTTTATTTTCATTAACTACTATGATAAAAAAGAGGTTAATTTAACCAAATATATACAGTCATACCCACTATAAAGGTCAGTTCTATATAGAGAAAATCTGCCTAATCAGGTTATTCTATTCTTGTACTGCTGCCTCTCTTATAAGGTCAGTTTAGGAATTTTTATCTGGTCCAAAAAGTGACCTTTTTATGTAGGTTTGACTGTATTTAAAATTTGATCGTATCGTTTTTTTGCCCTGAATTTGTGAAATATCCTTTATTCACTCCAAGATTGTGAAAGTACAAACTAATAACATTTATTGATATGCAATTCCTTCGGTTGATCCATAAGTTTTATATTAAAAGCTAGGTCCAAAATGAGCCTTTTCGTTGGGAGTAATTTTATTTGACCTGTTTCTTTTCTGCCCTTTAATTTGTATTACAATATCATTTTTTTGTTGTAAATATATATTTGTTGTAATTTCATTTATTCTTTTTTATTGAAATTTTGTAAGTTTTTATAATACAATGTATAAAAATAAGTGTTTTAATGGGTTTATATTTCATGAATCTGAAAGGAACAAACACACAATCACACGTACAAGCTTTATCTCTAAATCTATTTTCATTCTTTATTTCGGCTTTGAGTATTATTTTTTTTTGTATATTTGTATTTTAGTATTCAATTGCATGCATAAAATGATCTGATAATCCAGATTTTGTTATGTAATTTCTACTTGTTTTTTTGTGACATTGATCATATTTATGTATATTTTTTCTTGGAATAATCTTCTTTCTTCTTAAAACTTTTTGTATTTGCAAAGATTTGATTTTTACAGTAAACTCTTATACTTTTATTTGTTGTTATCAATAGTTATTTCCCTTTGTTGTAATCCCATCATTTCTGCGGTTTCAGTTCCACAGTTTGGCGGCCTAAGACACCTCCTTTCTGTTTGATGTGTGTGTAATAGTGTAGAAAAGTTTTTGTGTCCAGTGTGTCTAAAATAGCTTTGTAAATAGCAAGCAATCTACATACAGGTGAGTTGTCATGACAACCAATTTCAATGTTTCTATTGTTGTTTTGTAGCATCAATGACAAGAAAATGGATTTTATTGTTGGTTTTTGTAAAATATATGAAATAAATTTGGCATTGAGGAAAAGAAGACTGTAAATTTCATGATTTAAATTTTTAAATTTTATTTCATTAGAAATAAATTACGAATTCTTGTCAATGATAATGGACTGATAGATCTGTACATAGTTTGCTTGCCATGTCAAAGTGAGACGCACCATGCATGGGATCTTCACACACTAACAAGTTTGTTTCCTTGTAGATCCCTGCTTTGTAAATCAGGTTGTTTTATGTTTATTAGTATTGTTTTTATGACCATCAATATTAATCTTGTCCATTTGAAATTAAGGTATTTATATGCTGTAAAGGACAATATTGAAATTAGATATGAAATATTGCCATGATTGTATGAAATAATTATTTTTTAAAGCTGATTAAAAATGTTTTGAACAGCAACAATTTATGATTTGAATTTAAGGAGAATAGAATACATATATATGTCAATGAGACAGCAACCTAATTGAAAGACCAAATTAAAAACAAAAAAAGTTATATTTAGAGGGTAATAGATTTATATTTAGAGGGTAATAAACAGTCTTCAACAGTAGCCAAGTGTCAATATATTATTTCAGCTCTATATCGTCAAAGTCTACATAGAAAAGTGAATGAATTCAACAAACCATCAAAGATCTGCCTTTAATGCCAGATGCTCCAAATAAAGAATATTTTATATATAGGATATTTTTATTTTGTATTTTCTGAATAAAAGATTTTAAAGATCTTATTTTTTTCACAAATGATGTGGGGAGAAACATCAGTCAGACATCAACCCAGCAACACACATTTAACAATTATAGATATTGAGATATGCTGTATGTCATCTGTTAAGTTTTGTTTTAGCATGACATATTTATAAAATTGCCTGCATTTCTCACTGTACTATGTTTTTAAAAATAGTTAGAATTTGAAATGTTTCTAGTAGTTTTTAATAGTGAATGAAAAAGACACATGATAAATTTTATGGGTCCAAGCTCGTTCAGGGATTTACCTTCATCCAGAACTCTCACACCAAAAAAATTAAAAACCAGGGATAATAAATACTTCAACACATCAAGAGCTATTTGTCCTAAAGAGACAAAAAATATAATGGCCAAATCAATCTTAGGTCAACTTTGAATGAGGGATTCAGAACCTTAGTTTCTAAATAATTCCTTAATTTATCAATGGAGAATTTGATAAAGGTTTGTTATAAATCTTGTTAATATCCTGACTTTTGAGCTGATGATATCTTTTTGAGTTTGAATTTGATGATGTAGTAACATTTTATAATTAGAGGATTTATATGTGTTGATATTTGTGCTATGATCATGATTATTATTGTTTTATTTAAACGTAGATTGTATGTCATGTATGTTGTAAGACAAACAAATCTTGAGTTATAGAATTAATTTTTCAAAAGAATTTTACTTTTATGTTTTATGTTTAAAATGTTCCGTTCTTCCTTCTTTCTATTTCTATCCAAATTTTCTATCATCTTTATATATTTGATAAGGAGATTGATAATATTTATTCTGATTTATATACAGATACCTCACTTACAAGGATCTGACAGTTTTGAGTTGTATGATGTCAGCAGATTTTCTACGGAGATACTTCTCATTTGGTCATGATGTACAATAATAAGGGTATACTTGACAACACATTTTGTGCATTTTTTGTCCCAGTGGGAGTGCTGAGTACTCCAATAAAAACAAAATATTTTATGTATTAAATATCTTAATACCATCATGATAATTTGATGAGATTATCAGTGAGACTAATGACAGCGGATTGTAAATGTGGAAACAATTCCACTTTCAAATATAAGTCTTCTCAGATAGAAAAATTCCAGTTTGTTGTTTTTTCAGTGTTGTTTTCTCTCTCTCTCAGAACTAGCAAGTATAATTTGTTTATTTTTGTAGTTTCTGGTGTTGGACCCATTAGAAGCTGAGGCCTACAACTATTCAACTCCCAAAAATCAGATTTCCCCAAAAAGAACTATAGAAGTAACACAGGCTAAATCTCCAAGTGGAATGTTAGTTACCAAGACTACCACAACCACTCAAAAACATAACAACAGACATGAACCTGGTATAAATAGTAAGTATTGTTAACAGTGGAAATACATCACAAGACTATCGCTGTGATATAGGCTTTTTGTGCTGATGAGGCATAAGAGAATCATCACAAGACTATCGCTGTGATATAGGCTTTTTGTGCTGATGAGCCGTAAGAGAATCATCACAAGACTATCGCTGTGATATAGGCTTTTTGTGCTGATGAGCCGTAAGAGAATCATCACAAGACTATCTCTGTGATATAGGATTTTTGTGCTGATGAGGCATAAGAGAATCATCACAAGACTATCGCTGTGATATAGGCTTTTTGTGCTGATGAGGCATAAGAGAATCATCACAAGACTATCGCTGTGATATAGGCTTTTTGTGCTGATGAGGCATAAGAGAATCATCACAAGACTATCGCTGTGATATAGGCTTTTTGTGCTGATGAGGCATAAGAGAATCATCACAAGACTATCGCTGTGATATAGGCTTTTTGTGCTGATGAGACGTAAAACAATAATCACAAGAATATTACTATGATATAACCTTTTTGCACTGATGCGACTGAGGCAATCATCAATCAATGAATCAATACAAGAATATTCTTTTATAACACTTAACAAAACACTGAGGTCAATGTGGAAAGATTGCAGTAGCAAAAAGTAACCATAAGATTATAGAACAAAAATGAGAATATATATGTCATGTAGATCTGCAGCTAACGAAAGATAACTTGGCAAAAAACATTGAGCACACAACCATCTAATGGGACGTGAAAACAAGTATATGATAGAACATTTTAACAATAACGAAATAATTGTTCTAACTGTGCACGTGACCATCTAAAGTGTCTTTTAAAAAATGAAACAATAAAAAAAGACATTATCATTCTAGCATTTAAAGCAGTTTTCATTACTTAAAGGCACGAAAACAACATGATTTCATGTTCCCTTGGTACATTAAGAATATGACTGATTAGAGCTAAAAAAATGTCATATATTCTGAATGTGAAAAGAGGACTTTGGGGTCAATTTCACTGATTGACACTCTTCAGCAACATAATCTGTTAACCAATAAAGTACTTATTTTCCAATGATTCTGAAAGTGTTTATCTTAAAACATGAACTCTCCTTTATTTTCATGAACCACAAAAATTGAGACCATGAAGAGAAGTACTACGACAGTTTTTCAGATAACTGTTAATTATATGAACTTTCATTATAGGTTCGCCAAATTATGTAGAAAAACGTCAGAATTTTGATTATGACATATCAGGATCTTCCAGCCTGGATAGAACATCACCAGATAATATGTTACCCCAGGACAGATCTTTATCACAGTCATCTGGTAAGCATTAATACTGGTGAAAATCAATACATTACAGAAATAGACGATTATGAAGGGGTTTATATGCAGGAAGGTGAAATGAAAATTAGTCTATAGTGAATGGAAATAAAATTTGATATTAAATGATGCATTTCTGAAAATTGCATAAAAAACAATAAAAATACTGTTGAGCACAAAAATGTGATAACATTAACAAGCACCATACACACAAATAACATTCTTTGTTCACTGACTACATGAACTGTTATTAACATATTGAATAGAACAGTTGTGAATACAGACGTATTTTGGTGCAATTAAACAATTCTGATAAGAGTGAACAATATTTATTCTGCTGAGTCCCCATTTCTTAGCTGTAATGACTTATAAGTATCACCCTATTTCCTTTCTTTTGACATCACACATTTTTCAACTGTTGTCAGGTTTGAGGTCCTAAAAATTTGGAGTCCTAAAAATTTGGAGTATCAATATTGTATTCAGACTCAGAATTGAACCAATCAGAATGCTAGATTTGGTGTTCCGAGCACAAATTTGGTACTAGGAGTATTCAGTAAAGTTTAATGACCGTAGGCCTCAGACATTTTTGTAATACAACATGTGTACTTGAGGATATTGAGGTGAATTTTGGATTACAAGTGTATAATGATGAGTTACAGATTAAGTAAACCAAGATACCTCTGACACATTTTTGTTCATTTATGTAGCACATCATTGAAATCATGGAATAAAAAAAAGTTCATAAACCTGTACATTAAGTTAAAAAAATACCAGTAGAGGGAAGAGAAAAAGTATGATTAGAATACGACCAACACAGTAAATAAAACTGATTAGTGAATGATAGTAAATTAGTAAAACGAAATAAAATGAATGAATGTTTACAGGAGCCACATACAGAGTAAGTCAAGCATGGCTTTTACTGAAGCATGACAAACTAGTTCCTTGTCTAGTTATTGCATTTCTCCATGAGTATACCTTAATTTGTTTACCAGGCTGTTGATTGTTGCACTGATCATCTATTTTTATGTTTGAATTATTTACAATGAACTAGTTACAAATTTGGTTTTTCCTGTCTTTGAAAAATGGTCTTGTTCTGATATAATTTAAATCTACATATTTATTATACTTTGTTTGTGAAATCCAGTGTAGAAATAACAAAAAGTTTTGGAATTGAAGAAAGTTTTACATGTAGGTTGTCAAGCTAGAAGCTAGGTGATAATAGAAAGAAAAAATACTCAGAATAAAAAAAAACAATTGTTAGGGGGGGGGGGGGGGGGGAGGTGGAATCACAAAAGAGCAATAAACAAAACAGAGGAAAATAAAAGAAATACATGATTTTAGATTGCTTTTGTTTTGCTTTAGATACTTCATTCAGATCATTTTACGATAGTCCTGTTTGAAATGAAAGTTAAGAGTTATCTTTCATCATTTGATCTTGTCCAAGAAAAATCTAATTGAGTGCTATTTAGATAATTTACAGACTGAATTATTCCATCTTACCACAAGACTTTACAACTAATAGGATGAAATTTTCAAATATTTGGACAATGAATGTCCATGTGACATTGCAAATTAGGGTAAACTTATGATTTCCTCCATTGCACAGAAATTTTTAAATTGATAAAACAGTCTATCAAAAATACTCTTTGTGTTTCAGAAAAGTTTTGGTTTATTTAGATTATTAATATATGTGGTTCTCTAAGCATTGCTATTTAGCTGAAAGTATGACTTAAGGATGTTCGCTACTCTGTTTTAAAATAACAAGCTTTTTAAAAGACTGTTATAAATTGATAGTATATATATAATGGAACAAAAGAGCAGAAAAAAATGAAGGGTACGATATAAGCCATTGAAAATTTGGAGGGAAATAATTCTCTCTAGATTTTTCATACATTTAACATTAGCACCTTTTATCTTTCAAAAACTATGAAAAAATAACAAAGACTTCATAGGATTTTCAAATATGACTTTTTAAACTATATGTAATAAAATTATGAAAAGAAAAGTAGGGGTTAGCGAGCAAAATTTTTAATGGCACTATATTGATGGAACCAGAGGATTCCAAATATTTGACAAAAATTCAAAAACAAGAGGAGCGAACATCCTGAAGTGAGCAATGGGCAATTTTTTGGTTAGAAAAATTCAACTTTGAAACAAACATGAATTTTGGAATTTCTATACACAGGTTTAAGGACAAGCTATGGGTCTGTGTCGTTTTATTGTTATATTAATTGTCTCCAACAAAGCATTCAATATTTGATCTCCTGCAAGATAAATTAATTAAAAGTAAAATCATTGAACTTTTCAGAAGATGTGTCATTGCCTTCCACAGATTTGAAAATGATTTAAAGTCTTTCAATTGAGGTCTCAAACTATGGTCTTGAAAATTAAATTAAAAAACAATTATATTCTAGATCCTTACCTATGCTTGCTATACCAAATCCTCAAAAAAAAATAAAAGAAAAAAAGAAAAAAAAAGGGAATTGAATACATATGGGCAATTTAGAATACACATACAAGTTTTATAACATGTCTGTTGAAATCTTACTAACTTATTCACCCGTTAAGAATCTAAAGGATCATGGGTAATTTCTTTGTACTCCAAAATTAAAAACACATTACACCATTGGTTTGATATCCATTGTGTAGGACATTATTAACCAATCGCAACATTTTTGTGTACCACTTTAGAAAATATTACCCAGAATGCATTAGATTCTAGCATGGTGAATTGTGTGATATTTACGTTTGCATGGTGTTTTGTTTACAGAGTTTGTTCAGATAGACGGTGTAGACTCAGTTGTAGAAACTGCCATTAGAGAACTTAAAAGTAACAAACGTAAATCTAGAACACCCACAAAGACCACCACACTTATCATAACAGGTGTACAGAGGGTAAGTAAACTGCCATTAGAGAACAAAAGTAACAAACGTAAATCTAGAACATCCACAAAGACCACCACACTTATCATTAAAGGGTACAGAGGGTAAGTAAACTGCCATTAGAGAACTTAAAAGTAACAAACGTAAATCTAGAACATCCACAAAGACCACCACACTTATCATTAAGGGGTACAAAGAGTAAGTAAACTGTCAGAGAACTTAAAAGTAACAAACGTAAATCTAGAACACCCACAAAGACCACCAAACATCATTACAGGTGTACAAAGGGTAAGTAAACTGTCAGAGAACTTAAAAGTAACAAACGTAAATCTAGAACACCCACAAAGACCACCACACTTATCATTACAGATGTACAGAGCGTAAGTGTACCACTTGTATCCAATTTAAGAAGGGTTTATATTTGTAATAATAGGTAACGTTCATGTTCCAGCTTTTCTAAAATGAGAAGTTTTATTTGTGATGTGACAAAATGTGCGTCTGATGTAAAACAAATTTAAGCCTGATATCTATGATGAGTTCATTTATCACTGTAATAACTGAAATAAGTTTCTTTTGTTTTGGCTCTTGTTTTTTGTCTCGCCTTGACGGAGTCAAAAAGCGAGACATAGGTATGCTGTTTCCTGTGTCAGCACAGCAACGTCGTCAACAATGTATTAGTTTGTGATTAGGTCTGGTTTATGGTCAACCACTAGTGGTAGGTCAATGATATTTGGTATGCAGTTGTATTAGCATTGGCACATCTCATTTCCATGAAGATTAATATGCCCCGCCCTCCAAGTCATGGTCTATTGACTTTGAAACTTTTGTTTATTTTACGTGTATTAGTTTGTGATTAGGTCAGTTTTTGGGGAACAACTAGTGGTAGGTCAATGACATTTGGTATGCAATTGTATAAGCATTAGCACATCTCATTTCATGGAGAATATTTGGCCCTGCCCCATCAGTCATGGTCTATTGACTTTGAAACTTTTGCTTAGTTTACATGTATTAGTTTGTGATAAGATGCTAATGTTAAGTCAGTGATATTTGGTATGCAAATTTATTGGCATTTGCAAACTCGTTTCCATGGAGATTATATAGCCCCATCCCCTCATCATGGTTCATTGACTTTGAAACTTTTACATAGTTTACAAGTTAATGTTTGTGTTTAGGTTTGGTTAAAGGGAACAACTTATGATAAGTCAATGGTATTTGTTATGCAGTTGTATTAGCATTGGCACATCTCATTTCCATGGAGATTGTTTAGCCATGTACCTTCAGTCATGGTTCATTGACTTTGAATACCGGTATCTCTGTGTTAACAGTTTATTGAATAAATTAATAAAAACTGAGAAGTAATGTGGCATTTCATTAATGTGAGTCCATTGTGTATGACAGTAAAACAAAATATCTTAATTAACACAGATAGGAATGAGAAATTCTTGCAATTATCTTTTCCTTCGTGAAGTACCAATTTGAAACTTTTGATAGAAAATTTGTAATTTGCACACATAGGATATTTACTTGCATCTTTTTTTCAAGCAATATTTAGGAATGTACAAAGCAAAAGGTTTGTTTTAAAAATTGATTCCTGTAAGCACACAAATTGAAATAAGCACTTCTAACAGCACCAAATGTCATGGTTTTCAGAACATAGAAGTGTGAAAAGGTCATGTTGTCTGTTGGACACATATTCTTGCTTTTTCATGTTACAATGTATTATTATATGCCTTAGATAGTTGATAATACAGAATTTGATTAAAGATTGGTGTATCCAATTCAAGAAGGGTTTATATTTGTAATAACAGAAAAAGTTCACTTTAAGCTATACAAAGATTGGATAAAACAATTACATATTTGAAATACCAATGTTTTAATGAACTTAATAAGCTTATAGTGTGCATATCCCTTATTTTATAGACACCAGAACAATGAATTTTATCAGCTTACAGTATGCATATCCCTTATTTTATAGACACAAGAACAATGAATTTAATAAGCTTACAGCGTACATAATCCTTATCCTTTATTGTAGACACCAGAACAGTTAGATGAAGATTGTATACCTACTGTAATAACACAACCCCCATCACCAGGGCATCATGATAGACCAGGTACATTCTCATAACCAACTGTCGATTCATTTATTTTCATGGGTACCAATATTATTGGATTAAGGACAAATTCTAATTTCATGGATATTTAACTCCAGTTTTTACAAAAGTCAGCATACAAGTCTATAGAAGATTTAGGCTTAGTTGAACATTTAAATTCACCTGCAGCCACAACATCCATGAAAACTGGTATCCCTGGAAGTAATAATGAATCAACAGTATAATTAACATCCTTAGAAGGTTTTTTTTATTAATGCAGGTTTTCTATTGTTAAAGATAAGATTTACAGTTAGTGATAGAGTTATGAATATTTCAATGTTACGTTGTAAGGGCTATGTTGGAAAAAAGGAAATTCCTCTGTGGAAATTTGAAACCAATTTCGATGAGTTAATGCTTAGAGCTTTAAATTTGCTTGTAAAATTTAAAAAAATAAATTTCTCTTATAAAAAAGATTTCTTTTGCTTAAAATGTTTGACAGGTTATGAATTCTAAGTGATTAATTGAAAGTTTAGTCAATAGAAATATAGAACATATAAAATTTCAGAGTAAAGCTTTTGTACAATTTACAATCTTTGCCATTAATAAGGTTTATATATATATGCAGTATATAATGATAGTTTTCTATGCTTTTTATCTTATTTCATTATGAATTTTTTTCACTTTTTCTGTGTTCTTTAATTTAGTACTATGGTAACTTTTCAGAAAAAAAGAAAGGGTCTTCTTTTGCCGGTAGAATTAAGAAGAAATTTACTCGTTCCAAGAAACGCTCTCAGAGTGCAGATAGAGCTGGTGGTTCCCTCAGAGAGGGTTCCAACTATCTCCAGCCTCCAGAGGGCGGCACCTCTCCACGTTCTAAAGGTCTTTTTTTGGTTTCTGTTGTCGCTTTTGTTTCCTTTTTTTGATGGTTTATAGTTAAATTTCTATGCCATTTATTTAAAAGCATGCTATTTTATGGACTGTCGTTTAGTTTCATTAGTTGCTTTAAAGTTAAATTTTTGTTTTACATATATTTTCTAAATATAGGTTTTAGAAACTGATATGAACGTTTCTATAGCATCTCATCCCTTAAATTTATATATTTTATGAATGTTATATTTAGAGCTGTTAGATACAATTTGATCCTTTAGTCATAGAGGAGCATGTTATTAGTCTAATATGGCACTCAAAAGATACTCTCACTGTGGTCATTAGAATGATAGAAACTTATACTCCATCTGTTGAAAGAAAAAAAAAAGCAGACTGTATTTTTTATGATGATGGTAATTATTTCAACAAAGCTAAATGTGTGAAGCCTATAAGTGTAGGTTATAATTACCAAATAACTACTGATGTTTATAAGTTTTGTTTGGTTTTATCACCATAATATATATTAAGTTGACAAAAATAATTAAAAAATAGCTTTTAGAAATGATTAAAAAATGGCATAGTTGCATTAATGTTTTAGACATACCAAAGCCTTAATTTTTTTTTTTACATTTTTTAAAAGTAACGTTTTTAAATGCACTTGCATTAAAATAGCTTATTAATTGTTATGATGAAGAGTTTTTATTATCTGAGCACAATGTGGACCAAAAAAAATTCAAACAGCATCTTAAAGTTGTCATCAAGTTAAGATAAAAAAGTGAAGGGTAGATAACTCATTAGTTTTCACAAGGATTTTATCATTATCAAAATTTGTTACAATTAAAGGATGGTTTGTTATCAATCACATATACACAAAAATACTTGCAAACTAGACAATATTTATTGTGTGAAAAATGTTTGTTAATAATTTAGCTTTTCCAAAACTGGATGAAGTCTGTTACTAAAAATGCACATTTTATACATATTAATATGATACATATATTTATATCACCATATTTCTCATTTGCATAGTATATTATAGGATATGGACATATTGTGTTGGATTCCTGCTTATGTTTCATCCAAATAATCAGTTTTGTTTTAATTATTGTATTCTATTGGTAATTCTTTATATTTTAATGGGGGCAAATTTTCATGATTTTCGTGGAGTCAATGGATAGAGAGGAACCATAAATATGTGAATAAAGTTTCCATTAGGCTTGTATACAGAATTTATAGAAACCACTTATTGAAGTATCAATGAAAGTACAATTTATCCTTATTTCATGAAATTTTTTACCCTTGAAAATAAATGAATCTTTAGTATTTAGTCTTGGTTCATTATCTGTAAAAGTAATTTTGTTATTTCAGAATCATCAGTTAATAATGCACTAAAAAGTAAAATAGTCAGTATAGATCTATAGAAAGTATAAAGCTTTAAAATTTTGAAAATAAAACTGCATATTTGGTTAATTGAAGCTTTACTTTAGATGTGAGAGATATGATGTGTGTTATACATTCTGATAAACTAAATTGATGGAAGACATATAAGACAAAACAAGCAGATGAAATTTGTATAATGAGCAGAAAGTTTAAGAATAATAATTATTGCAAAGCATATCCAATATTATATGCAATAATAAAAACATTACAAAAAATTTCTGAATTTATAGTAATTTGATATTGAATGATATACTGATTTTTTATCTATATAATGATTTACTGATTTTTTTTCTATTTGATAATTTCCTGGAACTTTATAGGATGATGAAGTCTTTTTCCAAATGGCATTACTTTGGTTTTAGAAAAAAAGCATGACTTTAGTCCACAACTAGTGAAGTCAATTGAAGTTTCTTTTTACCAGTATATGTATGCACTGTTCATTATTTTTCTGCAAATTTCAGATGATATGGAACTAGGCAGACAACAAAATCCAGAAACACCTAATTTAAAGAAATCAAGGTCATTAGGCGGTAGTTTAAAGAAACTTTTCAGGAGAAGTAGAAAACGTTCTCAAGGAAGAGATGATCAAGAAATGTCGAGGGAGAGTTCATTATCAAGGTCATCTGCTAGGAATATATCTAAGGGTCCATCACGTGAAACGTCATTAACAAGGACTGGACAATCATCAAGAGAGTCTGCTATATCTTAAATTGTTCATTGTAGATCTAGATGTAATTATTTAACTCACAGCTTTAAAATCTCAAAGAGTGAACTAAAGCTTTAAAATGTCTAGTCATGATCATGAGAGGAAGACTGTTTATAAGTTGATTGAGAAATGGTCCTTCAAAAAGGAGAGCTCAGTGAGGAAAGATTAATTTGATTACTCAACAATAGTTTTAGATATGTAGCTTAAGAGTTATTGAAAAAGTGAATATTCAAATATAATTTTGATTATAAAATGAATTTTTGTATCTAGAAATGATTTGAGATTTTTGTATGTAGCAAGTTAAACTTTAAGTTATATTATAAATTTGGTATTACATGAAGGTTTCTATACCGTATTGGAAATTCAGGGTATTGAAAGAGAATGTGATCATTGTTGAACATCACTTTTATATGACAGGTCCAATGCGCCATAATTATTCTACTTGATATACCAATTCTGTGCCATTTTCAAAATTTGCTTATGAATTTTTGCCTGTAATTTCCTAAATTTTGTTTATACATCCTGGTCAGTGTAACAGTCAAATGGTCAATTATGGAACCGATTCCTTAAATTGTGAAAGATTTATTTTGTATGTAATATCTAAATGTTGACCTTTCCTGGTTTTTGACCTCTCCTTTAAGAAAATTAAGCAAGAAAGTATATTTTAGAATCTCATATTGAAATTTTTATCTCATTAGTCCAAAGAATATGACATACTGGTATAAGTTATTTATAGAACATGAGAATGTGGAAACTTGAGATATTTGTCATATAAGATACTTCTAAAGTATTTATAAAAGTAAATGTTTACCAACATATATGTGATAAGTAAAAACCCTAAGCTGTATCTTATTGATGATAAGATCATAGTCTTGTAAGGGTGAACGCTGGCTAAATTTGAACATTTTCCTTGTCATATGAATTGTAGAAGCTAATGTAGGGATAATATTGAAAATATTTTCTTTCGAAATATTATTGTTAAGAGCCCAACCTCTCTGATTGCTAGTAGTTTTAGACCAGCCAACCTTTCTGCCTTGACAAGATAGTGTAGAATATGATGACCTATAAAATATAGCAAAATGAAATGATGGCAAGAAGGTTAAGACGCACATTGTATCAATATGTCAACAATTTACCATCAATACTGGTTTCAGCTGATCAGTTACAGGGTATGCTTGTTATTGACCTGGAACCAGTTTGCTGCAAATGACCTTGCTCATGATGGGGTCAAAATGTTACATAATTCCAGAAGTGTTTTATGAATATAACTTACTGTTGAAAGAATTTGTCCAAGGATTGAAGAACTTGTTCATGAATGTAAGAATTGATTGATTATTAACTTTGCTGCAATTATATGCAGTAAAGATGAGATGGTAATTTAAGATAAGGTTCAAAAGCTGTATGAGTACTCTAGAACTAGAAAGTTGATAAAAACAAACACAGAAATTAAATAGGTATATATATAAAATTAGTCTACGCATTTCAATTATTTTCCTGAACAAGTTACTGGTTACTATCATTTCATTGCTATAAAAACTGATCATGAAGTCTTGCCAGATCTCATTGTAAATACTCAGAAACAGCCAGTTGTTTTAAAACATATAGAGATGTTATGTTTATGTAATTGCAGCCAAAATTCATTATCTCAATCTTATAGAAGCATTTCTTTGAAGTATACAATTTCCTGGCAATTTCCCACCTGACCATTAGATGCAACTATGGTATTATTTAACATTGAAAAGAATTTGATTTCCCACTGTGTAGTACAGTAACTTAACAAAAATGGTTTTTCATGAAAAGTAAACGTTCAAATGACAAAACAACTTTTCAGGGATCTTGGGACACAAAGCTATCTCTTAGATGACATTAAATAAATGAAGATAGAAATTGAAAAAAAACACTGTCAAATACTGACATTTTTTTTTGGGTTGAAATCATGATTTGGTAAAACAATGATCATAGAAGACAGAAATTTCCTAATGTCTGATTCCTTGTCCTTGAATTATTGAATGTATTAGTATTTGGTTTATAATTTATTGAATTGCCATCTATGAATGAATAACTTTATGCTGTTTGTTCTTGAGATAATGATACTTGACTGTAACTACTTTGAGTTGGGAGGTACTTTCATTAGAATTTCTTCCTTTCATAGCCAAAATGCAACTAAAAATGCTCAAGCAAAGTTTATAACAAATCATGCAGAAATAGACAAAATGTTGTTATATTTGTAACTTGATTGAATGTGATATTTTCCGCTAACAATTCCTTATGTTGTAAATGACTATATTTGTCTATATTTTCTATTAAGAGTTTTTATATAATATGCAACAATGAATTAGCTTGTTTGTGTCAGTAAAATTTGTACACATTTCAATACTGCATATATTTTTTATGTTTGTATATCTCCAATGGAACAATTGTTGTTACAAAAATCAATTTTCGTATTTTCATCCATATTTTTGTAATGCAGTTTCATTTTTCTTCAAGAAACTAAGTAGTTGACATCTACATGTATGCAAGCTATTTCTTTAAGAATTTATGTATGGATAAAACTGAAAAAGCCAGTGAAATATTTTAGAAATTACACCAAGATGTTGTTAAATGAAATTGGATACCCTGCATTTATCAGGCTTTTTAACAACATATGGTAAAATTGCTGAAAGACCCCTTCCTAAATTATTGAAAACTATCATTCTGCATTGACAATAATATCTTGATGCTAATTAGATACACCCATTCTGGCTAATGCCCTCAAGGTGTAACTAATACTTGTAACAAAAAAAACATGAAATCGTTACTATACATTTTACTAATAAGAATATAAACATGGCATTAACACTAAAAATATTTTTTTAATAAGTACTGTAAACTCAGAAATTAATGTGTGCATTTATAATAAAAATTTTCCTATTCTTATAAACAATACCAGAATTCATTTTGGACATGCACCCAACTTTATGGTCTAACTGATAGTAAATGTTTTTTTTTTTAACCTTGACTGGTGTAACATTTGTTAATAAGAAAATGAGGACCTGTTATACAAAGCTGCAAGCATTTATGCTAACTATATAGAACATGTATTTTTTAGAATAATTATTAAGGGGCGGGATAACTGCAGACTTATTTATAGTATCAATAATTTTTTTTTTTTAAATGAATCATTTACCACATAAAAATAAAAAATTTGTAACTAATAGACTAACTTGTGTGTTTATTCCATATGAACTTTTATCTAATAGTCCCTTTAACTGTTTGTCCCACTCATCATGAAAGGATACTCATAGTGTTAAGTAAAAATGATATAATTCTCATATCTCATTTAAAAATTATTCATATTTTTGATAGATGCACAAACCTTCAAAATCTAGAAACCAAACTTTGTGTTTGAGTTTTGAAGCTATACATTGTTCTGATGTTATTGGCTTCCACTAAAAAAACTGAAAAATGAGAAAATAAAAAATTGAGAATAAAAATAACAGAATTTATTCATATTCTTTGAAGAAAAATCCAATCTATTATAAAGAATAAATATTTACCACTTTTCTAAATTGAAAGATACATTTCATTGTTTGCTCCTGTTTGTTGTTAGTACAGAAATGTTTAAGAAAATGTTTCAGAGATTTGAACTCCAAGTAACTGAAATATCTTGGTTTATGATGCATAGTCAATTTTTTTTCAAACAGTGTGCTAAATAAGAAATAACAAATGTATGAATAAATAACATTAAAATTTTAGGGCATAATTTTTTAGAAGTAAAGATAAATAATGGGGTAACATTTTTTCTAAAAGGAATTTTTCAGATAATTTACTATTTTTACTTGTTTTCCAGCTTTATTCGTCAAAACCCAGTACCTCAGCTTTGTGTTACAAATGTGTCATGATTTTTTATTATAGATTTATCATAAGAGGAGAGAAACTATGGTTTTTATACCACAAGCTCATCACCGTGCTGTTTTATTGTTGTTTGTTGACAGTGTTATGTAAAGATATATATTTTAAAAGAATTGTTATTTGTAGTATGAAATATTAGATGAAAGCAGAATAAGTTTTAAATGTTTCACAACTTCTGTATATTTAATATGCACATGCATATTGAAAAAAAAAATTAAGAAAAATATATTCACAATTTTATTAGATATCTAGAGTTATCAGACTTTAAATTTTGGAAGGAAAAGCATACATAAATTAACTATCTTACACAGAGTTTATTGCAAAAAACAACTATTTCATGTGTTGAATGGAGCTGAAAAGTATTAATAACATTCTCCATATGTTACAATTTCATATCATTACAAAGAATGAGAGAATGACAATCTAAGGAATCAAACACACCTTCTACATTATCATATCACATGTTTCTATGCTGATAATCCTCTTCCTTTATTTGTGATAAAATTTAGTATGAATGAAATAGTAGATTTCATGTTATTTTTTTGGATGTGTGCAATATTTTAGCAGATTTGAATAAAATATTTATTTCACATTCTTTTGTTATTTTTTTATCCATTTTAATAAATTCTAAGCATTCAAGAATGAAATCCGGCCTGTGCATTTTTTTACCCTACACACAATGCAATTTGTCGGGAAGAGTCCTGAAATAATTGTTGAAATTATAAATGAAGATAAAGGCAAGAATTTCATTGAGCTCAAATACTTCATGGAATTCTGTGTGATACTTTGATGATATCTATTCCAGTTCCTATACTGACAGATTACGAGTTTATTTACCTAGATCCTTTTTGCACTTTAGGTAACGAGGTTCCTGGGTTGATAGATATTAACTTGAAAATGACATGCTCATTGGTACTACAGTTTTGAAAGGTCTTGTTTGGATTGAGAATTAAAGTTTCCTCCAGTTCAATAATTTAATACATATTACAATGTTATGCAAGACCTGAATTAGTGGCATGCTTTTATATTGTTTGGAACCACACCAGGCTGAGCAAACTGTAGTGACACATTTGGATTTAATGTAGATATGTTAAATGAGACAACTGAATTCTGAAACTGAAATCATGTTTTTTGAAACAAATTCACAGCAAAAGAGATTCATCACTGTATCGGGATTATATCAACATAGTAGTGGATATCAATATTAGAAAATTGTTATAAGGAGGTTTTCTGATCTAAAAAGACTAAAGTAAAAAGATGTTATGGTTGCTTCGATTTAATCTTGGGGTGTATCCTTTGTATGTTTTTAAGATTAAGAAATGAGGAACACTTAATACTATGTTATATAAAATAAGGAGATGTGGTGGTATGATTGCCAATGAGACAACTATCCACCAAAGTTCAATTGAGATGGGTGTTATGCCAGTTTTATAAAAGGTGGATATTTTGAATTCTGTATAGGGCTAAATGGTTTAATTTTTTCTGTTTTTGTCTCAAATAGAACAGAGGTCTGATACTTGTGACCTTCTAGCTCATTTATACAAACATAAATTTCAGAATAAGAAGTTTAAACTTTCTTCTCTTATAATCTCATTGACATGCATTTCCGTTGAAAGTTCATTGTTAGACTGGAATTTGCCAGAATTTTACTTCACAGGGTAATCTGATAACAGACTTGTCGAATTAGTCAAATTATGCACGAAATGTTTCCGCTGAAAAAATTCTTTGATTTTCTGGTATTTGTACAATTTACTTTCAACATCGCTGACAGTCAATATGGCTCATAGGTGGTAAATGGGATTGGATTGGTCCAAATTAAGATGGCGTCCTTAAAATCTTCGAAGGGATGATTTCAACTTCAACGAGGAACCCCTTATTGGCCTTTCCTGAACATAGTAACCATTTACCAGACCTGAACAGTAAACTACTGTATATCAATAAATTTGGCATTTAATGCAAAACTGTAAACACTGTCAAAATGACCCCCTTTGAAATAGTTAATAATATATAAATAAGAACCAAGGCCTTACCCAGAAAATATTTTCTACACGATGTCTTATACAAAGATGCTAAAAATCTTTTTGGATAATTCTTTGGCTCATGTCTAATTTTGCCGAAAACTAGTTGTAAAATAGCCATTGTAGCATCTACACCGCTTCCGAAAACCTAAGAAATTCAAAAGTATAATTTACCAACATTTAGGTAAACACAATCACAATATTAAATTTATAAGATTCTAACCACTAGAAACGATCCAGAACCAACAGGGTAATCGCAAACAACAGTCTGAAGATTCTCGTAAAATTACCGAACTATCTTGGATTAAACGACTGCAGACAGCATATCCACTGGGTCTAAATGACAATATACTGGGACAAGGAAACAAATCTAAAACTTATATTGATATCATGAATATTTTTGATAAAAGACAACGTAATAATAGGTCTCATGGAAAACGTACCAATTGATTTGATTTGATTTGATTTTTGGTGTTTTAACGCCACTTTAAGCACCGCTTTTCGGCTAATTCGTGGCGGCCAGTTTTTATTGGTGGAGGAAGCCGGAGTGCCTGGAGAAAACCACCGACCTCCGATAGGAAAACTGACAATCCTAGTCAATTAAGATTGGAGTCGAGTGCACCCGCACGAGCGGGGTTCGAACTCACAACCTCAGTGTTGACTGGCTAGTGATTACAGTAGTAACTACTTAGACCACTCGGCCACCGAGGCCCCTTCGTATCACTTGAAATCAACGAATTAAACATCGTATAAATTATACACTTGATGATCTATTTATATTTAAAAACAATGGTAGGCATCAATTATTATGAAAACTGGGTCAAATACCAATTAGTAAATTACATGATATTTTCAAAGAGTGTTACGCAATCTCGTTCTTCAGCCCACTCTGAATATTCGAGTATAATTACAGCTTTTTGCTACCATAGGCTGTTCCCGCGTATCCATAAACGAAAGTTCATGAAGATCATAAACAGAATTTTCTGAAAATTAAATATATTAACAGAAGTATTGATTTCATCAACGTATCGTGCATATTTAATGACTCGACCATTCAAAACTTTATACCTCCCTATTTTGAGAACAAAAAACCACTTATCATTTCGTATACATACAGAAAAACCAGCAGAAGTTTAATCTTTAATTATACGTCTGTCACATCAGACGTCAATATAGAAAATAATACTCCTCTTACTTGAGACTGTGAATCGTCGAATTTTAGATATGATCCCTATGGCCATGTTATTACAGGGACCTCAATATCGTTCAAGACCGAGAGGTTACAAACTTTTTGAAAAAAGGACCAAAATATCGTCCTCTATCTTAAATAGATTGGAAACAGTGTCGTCAGGTCACAAAAGACGCTCTTTCATCGTGCTGGGAAAATCTTATAAAAAATCTCTTGATTCTTATTTAAATTAATGTATGAATGTTGTGGATATTCGAATATCACATTTTGAAAATAATTCAGAAATAAATAAAAGAGTACATAATACGCCGATTTCTAGAATAAGAAACAAACTTCAAGTACTTTCAAAGCGGTTTGTGTTTGTACCGACAAAGCAGCCAACATTGCGGTGGTGGTAAGCCGTAAATACTACACGGACATTCTTAATAATGAACTTTTAAATTCTTCTACATTCAAGTCCGTGCGCTCCACAGAGAGTCATATAGTAAACAAACATTTCATAACCACATCACAGCTTAAAGGTTACCTAAACAACACAAAAAACCAGTAAAATATCGTTTCATCGCGGCTTCTACTAAGTGTTCTATAACTAATCTTTCAGTGCTTTTAACTAGTTCCTTAACTACTATCAAAGAAATTATCATTAACTTTTATAATAAAATATATGTTGAATTAACTATTTTTGGACTGTAAAAAATGCTTTTGATGTTTTAGATAAATTACGTGCTTTTGACGGTCCTTTTGATTCTGTTGACAGTTTTGACTTTTCCACTCTTTACACTTCACTTTCACAAAAAATCTTATCACCCAAAAGGTTTCCTATTTAATTAAATGGCCGTTTGGTAAATCTGAATGCAAATATATTTGCTGCAACTCATTTAAAGCCTTCTTCTTTAATGGGAAAGGTAAATATGACAGATATACTTACTGGATGTGTGATAAGATGATTGAAGCTGTTTTCTCCTTGATAATATTTATGTACGTTTTGGCAATAAAGTTTATCGATAGGTTGTAGGTATTCCTATGAGCACCAATTGCGCCCCTTTAATAGCAGACTTGTTCTTGTACTGTTATGAATCACAGTTTATGACCAAACTCAGTAAAGACCTGTCTAAGTTGCATTTAATTGATAAATTCAACAACACTTACCGTCATCTAAGTGATATTTTTTCGTTACATAATCAAGAATTATCTAAATGTACTGCCGAAATATACCCAAAGGAACTTACTTTAAACAAATCAAATATAAACGGTAATAACTGTCCTTTCCTAGATTTAGATATTTCAGTTTTACACGGGAAACACTACACTAAAATTTACGACAAAAAGGAACAATTTTTCGTTCCCTATTGTAAATTTTCCTTTTTTGGACGGCGATGTTCCTTTAGCACCATTTACGGTGTTTATATATCACAACTCGTTCGCTATGCCCGTGTCTGTTGTGACGTTTTATATTTCAATGAACGTAATCTATGCATTACTGGTAAATTATCAGTCAGGGATTTCGTTACCACAAATTACTTAAAACCTTTACTAAATTCTTCCATAGATATAAAGATTTGGTTTTGAAGTTTGGTTGTACCTGTAGAAACTTATTTCAAACGGGATAGCATATCCTAATTTTTACGGAGATGTTGTTTACCGAGCCAGGAAATTTAGAAACGACCCGGGTAAACTTATCCTTATTCTAAAAAGGATACCAATTCAACACTGTAATTAGATCTTTGAATATTGTTTTAATTGATATTATTATTGATTTTGTTATCAGCAAAATAAAATCAAACTAAATATTATTTTTATAAACATATACACATTCATGGCTCTACAAACTGTCGATACCTTTATTTTGGCATTGCACAAGGTCATGTTTTTCTCTTGACTGATAATGAAGTCTTTACACTAAATCCATTGGATGTTTGATGTGTACTGATTGATATTTTAGTCTCAGATGCATGATTTTTTTAGTTGTTATTGGGTTTGAACTAGCTGTCAGTAACTGCATTCTCAGATCTGTACTTAGTGTCTTTTTGTTGTGGGGATGTATAAGTACCCTGCAACGCCCACTCTGTGTTTTTGTTAGATGTATTTCTATTTGTATCCATCTGATGAGTTAAGCCTTTTTCGACTAATTTTTATAGTTTGTTCTTATGTTGTACTGTTACACCACTGTCCCAAGTTAGGGGAGGGTTGGCGCCTTCAAACGAGTTTAACCCCGCCACATTCTTTATGTGCCTGTCCCAAGTCAGGAGCCTGTAATTCAGTGGTTGTCGTTTGTTGCTGTGTAACATATTTGTTTTTCGTTCATTTTGTACATAAATTACTAGCAGGCCGTTAGTTTTCTCGTTTGAATTGTTTTACATTTGTCATTTCGGGGCCTTTTATAGCTGACTATAGCTGAGGGCAATACGCTGACCTATGGTTGTTTATTTCTGTGCCATTTGATCTCATGTGGAGAATTGTCTCATTGGCAATCATACCACATCTACTTATTTTTATATTGTAGATTAAATATGTCAAGTTCGACATCGAAGTGAGAGAGAAGTGAGATTTCTACACAAAAGTGCTCAGAATTTATCTCATATTCTTTACTTAATATTTCTTTGAAAGGCTTGAAGAATTTTAATATGTTTGCAGATTTTTATTCAGATTGCAATTATCATATAATGATTGGATTTATATGGATGGACAAGTATTGACACATTCAATTCAGCTTTTATTCGGAGCAGACTTGACACAGTTGTAACCAGTTTCCTGGAGAGAAAAAAACAAGACATATAATACTTAAGCTATTTACTATCTTCATTAGGCATACTTACTCTTTAATGAAAATGTTTTTATGAAATTGTCATAATGGAAATAAAAATTCTTCCACAGCGTCGAGTGTAATACGATACTTTTCCTCTCGAGACGGTTAACATTTTAAAAGGGAGGGCCAAATTGGCCCTTAAATGAAATGTATTTGATATATCTAGGACTTTCAGAATTAGGTGTTGAATATGTAAGTTATAATAAAACAATGCTGTTGTCGTTTAAAATATACCTTTTTTCATCAGTTATACAGCAATGCAATGATAGTCCATGCACTCAGAAAAATGGCAAACTTTTGCAAAATGTTGACTATTTGACTTGTACATCCTGAGACATAATATATAGCACAACCGTCGCCAAAAGATATTTTAACAGTAAGTGTATTTGTGTTTAACTGGTCAGATAGAAAACAATCATTTTGGGCGATCTTTGTGCTCTGTGTTAATGAACCCAAAATGTTGTCACAATTAGCCTATTTTTGATAAGCACTGACCTATCTAGCTAATGACATCAAGTTAAAAACGTCGCACTCAAATTGTGACACCAGGCAATGTTTCGTGTTGGTTAATTAACAGGCCAAATAAGCCCAAAAATGTACATTGTCCTTCAAAATAAATAACATGTTATAATTTTTTATTACGTCCGAATCCCTTTTCTGGAGTAACCTTCACCAGAAACGCTCACAGCTGAATATTTGAATGTCAAGGATGTATAAGAACCGAAACAGTAGAAGGGCTATATTACCAAGAAGGAACTTAAAATAATAATCACATCCAAAGTAAACTTTGCTTGAGGGAGTTGAAACCTTAATTTCGTAATAAATTCCAGGCAATTTACGAAACGTTTATTATAAATCATGTCAATACCGCAAAAATGATAATTGAGCTGATGATACCCATGGGGACTGACAGTTCACCAGCAGCGTAATGGACCCAGTGCTATAGAAAAATTAAAATAGCACTTTAAATTTTCATGTGTCCGAAGCGCACACTTTTATTTTGGGGACACACTTTTCACTAAGTTGCAAAAAAATTGTATTAATTCAAGCAAGACGTCATCAAGTATGGTCGCAATTTTCGTAGCAAAATCAGAAGAAATAAGAATTGACGTCATAATTGAATTTGGACCAAAGAAAATCTGAGATCAAGTGAATCACACGTTGAGTATTAATGAAAGTAATCAATCGTTCGGGGAAAGTACAAATCGGCTAAGATAAAGAACAGTAAATTCAGAAATTAGAAAAGGTATATCGGTTAAAAGTAAGATGAAGTAAAGGAAAAGTGCGTCGGATGCATAACATTACAAAGCGTTATTTTCAATTTCAGTCATGAAATTAGTATCGTTTGATCTATCAGTAATTATTTTAATAAAGAACTTCAACCAGATATTAGATTCAATTTTCTCTGTAAAGAGATTTGATAACCACACTTATATACAGTAAATATTTCAATGGCACAAATCACAAATATAATTGGTATTGTCAATTAAAAAACTCTTTCTCTAAGCCGAAACATGTGTTTTGTAAATTCTGTCACCATTTGTTGAATATTGCCAGGAATAAATCATGTTATTTCAATATGAATAATACTTGTTTATGAATTTATGCTGCTTAAAAATAAACAAACCTTTTAAAAACTCCATCCATTGACCAACAAGTACAGGCATTCAACCAAAACAATCAAAACGGTCCTTTCTAATAAACAAATAAATAAAAGTGCGAAAATGAGTAAATCAAATCGTCAGAATTTAGGAGGCGTAACGAAATAAAGACAATTTATAGTTAGAATACACATTTAAAACATTTGGCTTTATTCTATTTGCAGCGGAATAAGAATAAAATTATGTATTTTGTTTTGGTTTTTAGGGCCAATGATTATAATGCTGTTATTTATATAAGCAGTCAGTGGTAGGACTTCTGTGATGGGCTCACACCTAACAACAACAGGAAAACAATATCTAGCATGTTATTAACAATGTACATTAGTTCTTAACGTTCATGATTTTCTTGTTTAGTGGTTTTAGTATTTAAAGTATTTTTTACAATTTCAAAAGTATAGTATATATCTCAAGTCGATATATAGTAAACAGGCTACAAACCTAAATCTCACATGTGAGCTTTTCAAGTTGACTACATAACAATATATGTACACATATACACAAAAGTCAGGCAGACAACACAATTTTAAACATATGATACATGGAAAAGAGTAAATGTCAAATAATAGTTTGAACTGCATTTAAGGGAGTACGTGTATTAGATATGGTTTAATCAACCATTTTCTATATAAGGAAATGCTTGTACCAAGTCAGGACAGTTGTTTTCCACTCGTTTGATGTGTTTAAGCTTTTGATTTTGCCATTTGTTTAGGGACTTTCGGTTTTGAATTTTCCTTGGAGTTCGGTATTTTTGTAATTTTATTTCTTTTTATTTTCGTATTGTCATACATACATCCTATGAGTTATATACTAATGTAGAAGAATAATATAAAATATAAAATATCATTATATGTTTCTTAATTCTGTATTTTTTGGTTCTTAAACAGATAATATACTTTGCAATTGTTTCATGCTAGGTTATCATTGGACGATTTTAGTTACATTTATTGAGCTTAAGTTCTTTGGTTTATAATTAACCCAAGTGCACTGGGCTTTTGGTTCAGAGCTAACCTGATAAAGATATTCTTTAAAAAATGTGTCCGTGCACTAAAATGGGTATGATACGTTGAAATATTGAAATTACAACATCTAACAAAGAAAAGCATAAAAGTAGTTATTAACAAAAATACCGCTCTCCAAGGTAGATTAAAAACAGTTGTAATATAATCTCGCGTTGAAGGTTACAATGAAGACAAAGGTTTAAATTCATATTAATTGAATAATCTCCCAAGGGTATCACCAGCCAGTAGTCAGCATTTTTGTTTTGACATATCATTGATGTGGTCATATCTATAAATTAACTGTTTATAAACATTTTAATAGTTCGAACTACTAGTGTTTTCGACCCCAGGAATATATTACATGAGCTGTATTTGGCAAAACCTTTCAGACTTTTTGGTCCTCAATGCTTTCAACTTCGTACTTTATCTGGCCTTTTAATTTTTTGATTCCAGTGGCACTAATGAGTCTTTTATAGACGAAACGCGCGTCTGGCTTTCAAAATTAAAAGCCTGGTATCTTTGATGATGATGTTTTTTTGTAGAATAACTGGGTCGATGCAGCTTCTGGTGGAGGTTTCCTTCCATAAGATATCACCAGCCCAGCTGACAGCACTTCTGTGTTGAGACGACATTTCATTGACGTGGTCATATTTATAAATTAACTGTCAACAAAACTTTGAATTGTTCGAAATACTAGTGTTTTCTACTCAAGGAAAAGATTGCTTTTGCTGCATTTGACCAAACCTTTCGGAATTTGGGTCCTCAATGTTCTTCAACTTCGTACTTATTTTGGCTTTTTAATTTGTTTGATTCGAACGTCACTGATGGGTCTTTTGTAGACAAAACGTGCGTATGGCGTATAAAATTATAAGTCTGTTATCTTTGATGATTTTTGGTTTCATGAGGACAATTTCTGCTATCCACCCGCTACTATTTTGTTCAAAAATAAAGATTGGATTTATAGTTGTTTTAGATAAGCACTAACAGTAAGAAGTAGAAGGTTAATTCGACCTTACACTCTAAGTATCGATAATAAACTGATGTCAAGACAACATCAATATTTTGATGTTGCAAAAGTACTAAAATTGTATTTAACATTAATGAACACATGAATTGTTTACTTTCCTGTGTGTAGATAAATAAATTCCTGAAAAGGTCCAATATTTTGCAATGTTTTGTTTTCTCTGTATATGCTATATCAAATGAATACAGATATAATTGTACGACAACTGTAAAATGACCGATACTGCTAACAGTACTAATATCTTGTTTTATCAGTTTATTTTAATTGGTTTATTTATAGCTAAAAGAGCAGATAGAATTTTCTTATAACTGGCAAAATGTAGATGTGACCATGATTATTTCACTAAAAATATCATAAAAAGTATGGGTTATCGTGCTATTTTTTAAACTACAAGTAGTGCAAAATTGCCTAATTTGCATAGATTATTCATGAAAGAACACTTTTTGGGCATATAAAGAAATCTGCTAGATAGAATTTTAAAATAAAGTATTAGAAGATAGGTTTTATAGTGTGCTTTAGGAAAATAAAATGAAAAAATGGTGTCACCGAACTTGTTTTCTTGCTACAAGTAACATTCCTTGAAAAACAAGTCTACTATTAGCGTTTTCTCTCCTGAAATGGTTAGGTTGAAAAATTGATTGGAACAAAAACAATAATTTGGTATTTGGTAAAACAGTGTAAATAATGCAATAAATCACTATTTTTCAGTTTTAAGCAAAGAACTAGATCGATTGTGCACTGCTTTGTAACAATGGCGGTATACAGTTCATCTACCTTACAATCTTACTAGCAAGAAACAACTTTTATCTTATATTATCATATACTTGTTCCTATATTTAGTATTCAAATATTATTTTTACCTATTGCCTTTAAAATTTGACCTTATGACGTCCTATCACCTGAAGCTGAATCTGTAAAAAAAAAAATATTTGCCAATATAAAAATAAGGAGATGAGGTATTGTGGATTCATTAATATTCGTTGGATACCAATTTTCGTTGATTTCGAGGGAACATGGGAACCACGAATTTAAATGTTCAACGAATAACAAATTTTCTAAAGTAATGTATGCAGACTTTGACAAAACCACGAAATTAAATATCCACGAATATACAAGTTTTCCTCAAACCACGAAAATTGGTACCCACGAAAATAAATGAATCCACAGTATATAAAACCAACAGTAGTATACCGCTATTCGAAATTCATCAATCGATTGAGAAAAAAAAATCCGGGTTACAAACTAAAACTGAGGGAAACACATCAAATACAAGAACAACGACACAACAGAAACACAACACTAAAATGCAACACACATAGAAACGAACTATAATAAAACAATGGCCATTTTCCTGACTTGGTACATGACATTTAATGATTGCCAATGAGACAACTATCCAGCAAAGTTCAAATAAAATTGATGTAAGCAATTATAGGCAACCGTACGACCTTCAACAATGAGAAAAATCCATACCGTATAGTCGGCTATAAAAGGCCATAACATGAAAAATATTTAACAATTCAATTGAGAAAACTAACGGCCTAATTTATAACAAAAAAATTAACGGAAAACATATATGACAGACATGAACCAACGACAACCACTGAACTACAGGCTCCTGAATTGGGACAGGCACAAATAGAATGTGGCGGGATTCAACATGTTTGTGAGCGCTCAACCCTCTCTTTAACCTGGGACAGTGGTATGACAGCACAACATAAGAACAAACTATATGACAGTTGAAAAAGGCTTAATTCATCAGATCGATACAAAACAGAAAAACATCAAACATAAACACAGACCGAAAGTGGCATGGTATTTATCCATCCTTCATCCCTAACAACAAAAAGGACACGTACAGATCTAAGAGTACTCGCAGTAACTGAAAGCTAGTTCAAAGCCAATAACAACTAATAAAAAAAATCATGTATCTAAGACTAAAATATCAATCAGTACACATTCAATATCCAATGGATTTAGTGTACAGACGCCATTAACAGTAAAGAGAAAAACATGATCTTGTGGAATGCCAAAATAAAGGTATCGACACATGGTAGTACCGTTAAAGTGCATATGTGTATAACAAAACTATTGGTATGATTTTAATTTACTGATAATTAAATCTATATTTATACCAACAAAAACTATATCCAAAGATCTAATTACAATGTTGAATTGGTAATCTTTTAGAATAAGTTTATTTAAAGGATCGATAAGTTTACGCGGATCGTATATAAATTTCCGGGCTCGGTAAACATCATCACCGTAAAATTCAGAATGGGCTATTCCGTCTGAAATAAGTTTTTTTTACAGGTACAGCCAAACTTGCAAACCAAATCTTTGTATCTATGGAAGAATTTAGTAAAGGTTTTAAGTAATTTGTGGTAACGAAATCCCTGACTTAATAATTTACCAGGAATACATAGATTACGTTCATTGAAATCCAGAACGTCAATACAGACACGGGCATAACGAACGAGTTGGGATATATAAACACCGTAAGATGATGCCAGAGGAACATCACCGTCCAAAAAAGGGAAAATAAACAATAGGGAAAGAAAAATCATCCCTTTTGTCGTAAATTTTAGTGTAGAGTTTCCTGTGTAAAACTGAAATATCTAAATCCAGGAAAGGACACTTGTTGCTGTTAATATTTGATTTATTTAAAGCAAGTTGCTGTGTGTAAATTTCGGCAGTATATTTAGAGAATTCTTGATTATTAAATATTTTATCATTTATATAAAAATATCATCAAGATAACGGTAAGTGTTGTTGAATTTATCAATTAAATGGAATTAAGACGGGTCTTTACTGAGTCTGGCCATAAACTGTGATCTATAACAGTACAGGAGCAAGTCTGCTGGTAAAGGGGAACAATTGGTGCCCATAGGGAAACCTACAATCTGTCGATAAACTGTATTGCCAAAACGTACATAAATGTTGTCAAGGAGAAAATGTATGACTTTAATCATCTCATCACACCTCCAGTAAGTATATCTATCAATTTTACCTTTCTTGTTTGAGAAAAAGGCTTTATATGAGTTGCAGCAAATACATTTGCAATTAGATTTATCGAACGACCATTTAATCAAATAGGAAAACCTTTGTTTGATAACATTGCGTGGAAGTGTAGTGTAAAGAGTGGAAAAGTCAAAACTGTCAACCGAATCAAATGGATCTTTAAAAGCACGCAATTTATCTAAATCATCCAAAGAATGGTTTACACTCCAAAAAAGGTTAATTCCACTATTTTTATATGTTTTATTATAAAAAATAATGATCAATTCTTTGATAATAGTTAAGGAACTCGTTAAAAGCACTGAAAGTGAGCTGGTGTTGTGACATGATTATTTACTATATGACTCTCTGTGGAGCGCACAGACTTGAATGTAGTTGAATGTTTAATTTCATTCTTAAAGACTTCCGTGTAGTATTTACGTCATACCACCACCAAACTGTAGGCTGCTTTGTCGGCCGGTACGAACACAAAACGCGTTGCGAGTACTTGAATTTTGTTTTTAATCCTAGAAAGGGATGTATTACTTATTCTTTTGTTTATTTCTAAATTATTTTTGAAATGTGATATGCGAATATCAACAATATTCAGACATTTATTCAAATATGAATCAAGTGACTTTTTGTCAGATTTCTCCCGTTTACACCATTTTTTACAATATGATGAAACAGCATATTTAATAACCTGACAACACTCTTCCCAATTTATTTTCGACGGTGGACGATATTTTGGTCCTTTTTTCAGAAAGTTTACAACCTCTCGGTCTTGGGAGATATTCAGGTCCCTGTAATTACATGATTATAGGGATCATATCTAAACGTTGATGTTTCACAGTCTCACGTCGAAGGAGCATTATTATCTATACTGACGTCTGATGTAACTGACGTATAATTAAAAATTAAACTTCTACTGGGTTTTTATACAAATAAGAAATTATTGGTGGCTCTATGTTATGAAAATATGGAGGTATAAAGTTTTGAACGGTAGAGTTATGAAAAATACTAGACAAATTGATAAAATCAATACCTCTATTAATGTATTTTACTTTTGATGAAATACTTTTTATGATCTTCAGGTTTGTCAATTTGAGGGAACAGTCTTTGGTGACAGAAGGCTGTAATAATTCATGTACACTCATATTTTGGTATTTGACCCAGTTTACATAATAATTTATGTCTACCATTGTTTTTGAATATAGATAAAAAATCATCAAGTGTAAAATTAGAACGATGTTTATTTCGTTGATTGCGGTTAATGCGTTTGCCATGAGACCTCTGATTGCATTATCTTTTATCAACAATAGTCATGATATCAATAGAGGAAGTTTTAGATATGTTCCCTTGGCCCAGTATATTGTCATTTAGACCTAGGGATACGCTGTCTGTAGTCATTTAATCAAAGACAGTTCGCAAAGTTTACGGGAATCTTCAAACTGTTTATGTGATTGTCCTGGTTGTTTCTGGACGGTTTGAAGTGGTTGGAATCTTATTAATTTCTTATTTTGTTTGTGTTTTACTTAATGTTGGTAAATTAAACTTTTGAATTTCTTAGGTCTGGAAGTATTTATTTTCAATACGAATGGATACGATTAAGGTAGATACGGGTACACAACCCGAGACAACTATCTAATAGCAGAGCAGAATCAAAAGGAGGTTTCTAGAGATTGTTATTCTACAATATACAAGTGTCTTTACAATATGGTAAGTATACATCGCTTTGCTGCAGAACAAGTTATAAAAAATTAAAATTTGGAAAAAGAAAATGAAGTTAATGTAATGTTTGCAGTAAAATGAAGAATACTTTTAATAACTATCTTCAATCACATTTTACACAGTATAAGTGTCAAATAAATTTTGAAGAACGTTATTCAAGGCAATACTTTGTTTCAAATTCTTTTGTTTATTTGACATTTATTGCTTTGCAATTATTCAGCTGATTTGAGACATTGTATATCCTAAAATAATTTCTGATAAATTATCATATGTGATTATACAGATGATAGAAATTTTGCTTGATATTAGAAATGAACAATAATACCATACCTTTTGTTTTTGCAGACGTCAAAGAAGTGGATTGTTGTGACACTGAATCTGGTAAAAGAAATATATTATAGGATTAAACACATTTTTCTAGAGGTTATTAATATGTAACATTCTGTAAACCGGGGCGATCGGGGCGCTTAACTCACATACTGAATAAAAACCTGGAGTTTGTGACCCAGTTTACGCATCAATAACATCTAGAAAAAAAAAATGATTAATTTTTACAATTCTTCATCAAAACAATTGCAATTATTTATTTATTCATCCATAGGCTTCTATTTACCGCAAAATACACAGTTGAAATGTCGTAACTAAGGAGTTAGTCACCATATTGACCTTCTGATATTCATAAATGATCAATTAATACAACAAAATCGAAAATGAAAACAAAAACAAACACTTACCTTTAAAATAACATTTTAATGAGACATTATCCAAACAAGCGTACAAATAACGTAACGGAATAATTTCCAGTTTGAGAGTTTTCATTCGTATTACGTCATGTTTTGCAATGACGTTTATGCTCTACTACCATTTATGTAATTTTGCGGAATTTTATTCTGTTTAATTTTATACATTTTCCCAAGCTCTAATGCATAATTTCTTTTTATAAAGCATTACAATAGAAATAACAGTCTAAATTTTTTTCTAATTCAATTTCAATCATCTTTGAACGCCATGATCAATGCATGATTTTTACTCATGAATAGATCAAAGTGAAATTGACATAGTGTGTACATAGGTTACGAAAAAAGTTGCGGCAACATAGTCTATCGAAGTGTAAACCATGGGAAAAATTTCTTACGAACTAACTACTTGTAGATATGCAAATCATATAAGAAATTTTCTAAGATATTTCTATCTTATATGAACAATAACTTCAATACATTGATAAGAATGTAACTATGGACGCAAATGTATAATGTGATTTCTATGAAACGGGTCTATGTGTTTTATAAGGGTATTTAAACATGACATTCAAAGAACTTCGCTGAATTGATATACATGTCACATGGAAGCTGCAAACAAATTACTAGTAGTTTAGCATATGTGATAACACAGATGTTAGAAATTTTTATTGATATTAGAAATGATCAAAAATAATATACCTCTTGTTTCCGCAGTCGTTATAGAAGTAGACTGTAGTGACACTAAATCTGTTAAAAGACAATGGTTAAAGTATTCCTAGAATATATTAACAATAACTGCGATACATTGATAAGAATTTACTGTGGTAGCAAATCCATGATGTGATTCAAGAGTTTTCATGAAATTGGTTTATGTATTTTGAAGGGTATTCTTACAGGAAAGTAAAGGACTTCGGTAGATTTATAATCATAAGAATGTTACTGTGGAACTCCATTAATGTCGATATATTTTATATATGATAACACTGGTTTTAGCTACATGAGAATGTATGTCCTGTAACTGATAACTGATAACATATTATATTATTGTAAAACTGGCTGCATATGATAGAAATAGCAATAGCATACCTGTTGTTTCTACTGAAGTTAAACTAGTGGACTGTATTGGCACTGATTATGTTTAAAGAAATATATTTAAGGATTTTTTTAATATGATATGGTCCAAGAACCTCGTTACTCTTATGAACAATAGAAATTTACTGTAGTTAATATTCCTTATAAATGATATCAATAATTCATGTTATTTGTTTGTGTATTTTGAATAGTCAGAACACAAACATCAGGAACTATAACTGATGATATTTATCTAACTGGCAAACATCTCATAGTTTGTTATTAAATAGGAGCATTTTGGTCTCCTTATATATTTGTTGGTCAAAATAACTATCTTAAATTGTTTACTATAACATAAGACATACTTTGTTATTGTGTAAGGAAATTTTCTTTCAAACTCCTTTTGTTCCTTTTGTTTAAATTATATAGTTTACACATTTCATGCAAAGATCTTATGATGTTCAGTTCATTATTTAATACTCTCTGAAGTGGTCAGAAAAAAACAATTTTGGAACATCAACTCAAAATTAAAATATTTGAATGGAAAAAATTGTTCCTAAGACATTTTGATATCAAATATATTCCTTAACAACAGTAGCACGCTGCTGCCAATCTTATTGAGTCCAGACTGTTTCATTTCTTACATATCCTTCAACATTAAGACGAACACTAACAATGTCTTGAAAACCAGTTGATGTACTTTTGGAGAGTATGATGCGAGTTACACCACCCCACCTTGGTACATTGGAAGAACTACATCCAAACTTAAGTTTTTATTATATGTGATAATACAGATAATAGAAATTTTTATTGATATAAGAAATGATCAACAATAGCATACCTCTTATTTCCACAGACTTTAACGAAGTGGACGGTAGTGACACTGTGTCTGTTAAAAGACAATGGTTAAAGATATTCCTACAATATATTAACAATGACTGTGATGCATTGATACGAATTTACTGTGGAGGCAAATCCATGATGCGGTTTAAGAATTTTCATGAAATTGGTTTATGTATTTTACAAGGCTATTCTTACAGGAAAGTAAAGTACTTCGGTAGATTTATGATCATAAGAATGTTACTGTGGAATGAACTCCATTAATGTCGATATATTTTATATATGATAACACTGGTTTTAGCTACATGATAATGTATGTCCTGTAACAGATAACTGATAGCATATTATATTATGATAAAACTGGCTGCATATGATAGACATTTTGCAGGAAAACAGAAATAATCAACAATAGCATACCTGTTGTTTCTACTGAAGTTAAAGTAGTGGACTGTATTGGCACTGAATCTGTTTAAATAAAAAAGGAAAATGACAAAAATATCGAACTCCAAGGAAAATTCAAAGCAGAAAGTCCCTTAACAAATGGCGAAATCAAAAGATCAACACATCAAACGAATAGTAAACAACTGTTTATGACTTGGTAAAGAAAGATATTTAAGGATTTTTTAATATGATACGGCTTATTGAACATTTTGGTCCCCTAAAATATTTTTTGGTCTAAATAACTTTCTTAAATTGTTAACCATAACAAAAGACTTTGTTATTGTTTAGGGACATTTCAAACTCCTTTTTTTCCTTTTGTTTAAATTATATAATTCACACATTTCATGCGAAGATCTTATGATATTCAGTTCAATATTTAATACTCTCTTAAGTAATCAAAACATAAATTATAGGGACATTAAATCTAAATTTGAAATATTTGAATTGGTAAAATTGTTCCTAAAAAGTCTAGACATTAAATATGCTAGTCATCTGCTTTTTCGCTATATTTAGATAAGTCATGGATCTATAGGAACAATGGGAAATATATATAATTCTACTCATGATTTCTAAAGGATCATTAATTATCAGTACTATAATAGGTAAAGTTGTTAAAGTACAAAGTTTGTAAAAAATAAAATTTATTCCTGTTGTTTGATATAGATCAGTTTGCATGGATCTATTGTAAACAATTCTGGGGTTAGTCTATTTGAAATTCATTGATTATGTATATTAAACAGGTTGATTTATTTGGACATTTTGTACCTTTGCAAGTAAATATCAAAGTTGGGAACAGGACATTTGAATCTAGATTTGACCTGTTAACAGACTGATAAAATATAAGTATACTTACACGCTGGTTGAAAGTCAACAAAACAAAAATATCGCAAATTAAATATGAATCAATAATCAAATGATTTCTGTCAAAGATGTCTTGCATGAGCAAAATTCTGAGAACATAGAAGAGGGGAGGTTTTTCAAAATATTTAATTTACGAACACTAATTGATTCAAGTAACAGATCATCTAATTTTGACTGCAACTATGTGATTTGGGCAACAGATGATGACAGACTAACTTTAAGTTTCATTGATCGAAAGAGAAGGATTGTGTATGATTGATAACTTTACAAGAATACCTTTATCTATTGTTCGTTATTGTGTTTAATACGTACACCTGTATATTACAATATTGGATGCAATTGTTTTGGAAAATCCACATGGCAAAAATGAATCGCCACTTTCACATCTGAATTCAGTATATCTATAATCGGCAGATACATTGTATCTCAATGTAGACGTTTGACTATTCTGGCAGCCTAGCTGAACCAACATTCCCTGGTCATAGTCTTCGGCATTTGGCCAACCATTGAAGTTAAACATATCACCTCTCCTGTAACACCATCTTAATACCCCGACATGATTTCTTCCTACTGTTCCTGTACAACTCAACTCAATCAATGTATTAGGTCTAAAAGATGCTTCCATTTCTGGTTTTGGACTGACCTGAATCTGATTGATCGTGGCTTCAACTAAAACAAATATTGTATTTGTTTTTTTCTCCATTAAGAATTGGATTAACGAAACCCATTTTAGTGAATTTTCAATGTTTTCAATATATATTTATATTATATGAAATCTCCAGGTCACTCTAAGGCAGATATGGACCGACTGACTATCACTACAATTGACCACAAGACGTCATGGTCCAGAGAGGAGAAAGTCACTCGGGAAAGATTTTGGATACGAACGTTGAAAACTTTGGCACCAAATGGGATCAACGAAAGGAGGAATTTAAAATCAAGCAGTACTAGATGTGTTACTTAATTTTAAAATATATAACTGCGCACTCTCGCCAGTTGTAAATACTTAATTTGTATCTAGTTCACAAGATTATAGAATACTCAAACTCTAAACTTTCCATCATTTGTTTTAAATTAATTTTTTTGAAGTTCTAGATCCGTGAATTGTAACTTTAATTTTTCTACAAACGATGTTCGGTGTTTAATTTGTATGATGGCCAAGATATTTGAAATTATCATAGTAATAAACACCAGCTGCTGATACCGACGAAGGATATTTGTTATCCGAAAAATTTATTGAATTTTTTATTTTTTGTTTCATATTTTTTATCATTGTTTTGTTGTTGTTGTCCACTTTTTTAGACGTATAATTTATTTATTTACTGTGTACAGTATCGTTCTCTATAACGATCCTACACCCTCTTAAGAATGATTGTTGACTACCATCTAGACGTTCTATATAAATTATATAATGCTTATTTAAAAGCAAAAAACACAAAATATATCAATGATGCAAAATTCTTATATCAGCAATCAAAGCCGGGCTCCAAAGTTATTGTGAAACTGCCTATTCTAGAGGAAGCGTAAATCAGTTGTGGATACTAAAAAATTCCAAAGATCTTTTAGAGTACATACAATCTAAGACTCTCTCATCTTGCAATAGTATTAACACATTTGACTTTTCTACACTTTACACAAGTATTCCCCATTCCAAACTAAAAGACAAATTGAAAGAGTTGGTATTACTTTGTTTCATAAAAAAGAATGGCGAACGTAGATACAAGTATCTTGTCTTGAGGAGGGATAAATCCTACTTTGTAAAGAATTACTCTGATTCAAACAAAAAATTCTCTGAAACTGACATTATCAAGATGCTTTATTTCTTGATTGACAACATATTTGTTACGTTTGGAGGACGTGTTTTCAGCAGACTGTCGGAATTCAAATGGGAACCAATTGTGCCCCTTTTCTTGCCGACTTGTTATTTAATAATTATGAGGCTGACTTCAAACAGGAACTTCTTAGGAAGAAAAATAAGAAGTTAGCAATATCCTTTAACTTTACGTTCCGCTATATAGATGATGTTCTATCACTAAATAATACAAAATTTGGTGACTATGTTGAACGAATCTATCCCATCAAACTAGAGATAAAAGAGGGACGAAAGATACCAGACGGACAGTCAAACTCATAGATCGAAAACAAACTGACAACGCCATGGCCAAAAATAAAAAGACAAAGAGACAAATAATAGTACAGATGACACAACAAAGAAAACTAAAGACTAAGCAACACGAACCCCACCAAAAACTGGGGGTGATCTCATGTGCTCCGGAAGGGTAAGCAGATCCTGCTCCAAATGTGGCACCCGTCGTATAGCTATTCAAGTATTTACATTTTTATTTAGTTTGAGCGTTCCTGCTGAAGGTAAATTCAGAAAAGCGCTTCGGACGGACCAAATTTTCATATATATATATCACATTGTTACGTAACATGCTATTTATGCTTTTGATAAATGATATACTACACTTGTGTTGTTCAACCAATGCGTTTGGTATTTATATTTATCTGATTATGTTTTTTATAAACTCCAATGTTTTTTTTAAGAAGGATCAAAATGTTCCGGTGGTTGTTTTGCATATAAATTTGTACTGATTTGGTCTCGGCATTGAACAAGATCATGTCTACCTGCACTGTTTATGATAATCTACTATGAAGAAGAACCACTTATACTGGAGGAAAGATGGTATGATCTCATATCAGTAAATTAAGTACATTTAGCCGGGTTTTATTGACTTTATGCATTTTTAAAAATGGTATAGGGTATTACTGTTTTGTATGTATGTATGTTATTTTAATCGATTATAAAGTAATTTTAGTGTTAAGTGTCTGTTCTTTTATGTACCTTTTTTTAAGTGCACTGTTATATTACAGATTAAAAAGGGAAGCATGAATATCTAAGAAAACAACTTTCCGAAGACATTAACATTGTCTGTGGTTGTCTAATGTCATCTTATTGTATATTTCTGTTATTGGGAGAGTTTGTTGTTGATGTCAGAGCTTTAATAGTTTCTATTAAATTATTTGACTATAGTTTTAGCATTTAGGTTATTTAGACATTGCCATCCTGCTTATACAGCTGCTTATTGTTAAAGATTTGTATTTATATTTCTAATGGGTATTTTGTTACATACATTTGTGTTGAATTGCTGTATCATTGACGTATACTCTATCAAATCTGAATAAGTCTCAGTTCATAAGTAATCTGGATCTTACAATGCCTTTACTCGATTAATTGAATCAAATAGCTCCAAATACTAAGGGGTTTTCCTCCTTAGTTTGATCTCCAAAAAAGTATAATATAAAATCTCAGACCAACCATGATAAGCAACTTGGTTAGAAAGTTGTCTATCATACCCCTTATCTTCTTTATTTAATGGTATACCTTTAAATTGTACAGTCCCAATTATATCTATCTCTATTGGCTGGTTAATAGATGAGGTACCACTTACTTTACAGCGATATGTTCCTTCATCTGAACATAAAACGTTATCGGCTTGGATGTCAAACTCTAGTCCAGCAGAAGTGCTAAGTGGATGCACATATTCCTTAATAACAGTAGCACGCTGCTGCAAACCTGATTGAGTCCAGACTGTTTTCATTTCTTATAAAAAATTAAGAAGAACACTAACGATGTTATGAAAACCAGTTGATGTATTTTTGGAGAGTATGATGTGAGTTACACCACCCCACCTTGGTACATTGGAAGGACTACATTCAAACGTAAGTTTGTCTTGCTGAAAAAGTACTGTCCGCGGTAGTGTCATGGAGACATCTTGGCAAGATACAATATCATCTGGAAAAGAAATCGGAATGGCTTTGACTTTTTATCTTCATTGTAAGATAAAATACACAACACTCTTTTGAAATTGAAATTATTAATCAATTTGCATTTTCCACACTGGTAAACAATTAAACGTCGTAATTACCAAACAAACGTATTATACTAATCTCAGGGAGAAACGCGTAGTTTTTCCTAGAATAAACTTCTTCAGTTGTTTTACACAAATACACGATAACGGTCACATTTGGCTCTGATTACAAGTGCTTAAAGTGAAATAAATTGGCCCAGGTTAGAAGTGGTCTTAACTTGGTTATAAAGAGGAACAAAGCTGTAGTAGGAAGAAGAAGAACGAAGAGTTTAAATTTCGAGAAAACGATACGTTAAACTGGATTCCTAAATTTTGTTTTCAAAGAAAAAAAACACTTAAAAATACATTTTAATTTCTTCAAACTGACATTCAGTTAAAAGTCATAATCTTAATTTTATTTTTTGTTAATATTTGGTTCATCCATCTAACACAACATACTCAAAGTTTTCATTCTTTGAAAATGCGAAAACAATATTGGAGACATCGGAGGTCAAAATAAAGGTCGTTTGCACAACGTGTTCACTTTACCTTTAGTCCTTAAATTAATATAATCATTAGATAGTACTGAGTATACAAATGACTTTTGTAAATAATATCTTCTACCAATACGCTTCCTTGTCATTATAATTTCTTCCAACAGAATTAAGCATATAATACAGAAGCATCAACTAATTTCTGGGTATGTAATAAATTAATAGATAAGTTATGTTGACGTTTGTTTTTGTAGCAGTTCAGTGTTTATGTTGTTCCGTTGTTTTCCTCTTAAAGTTGATGTGTTTCCCTCGGTTTTGGTTTGTTACCCGGATTTGTTTCAGTTAAATCGATTTATGATTATTGAACAGCGGTATACTTATGTTGCCTTTATTTATAATTGCCAACAAAATACAACTCCTTACTAAAAAACAGAACGACAACTATATACATAACTACGTATAAAAACTCATCAAAGATACCAGGCTTATAATCGTGTACGCCAGTAGCGCGTTTGGGTCCTCAATGCTTTTCGTATTATATTTGGCCTTTTTACTTTTTATGATTCCAGCGTTACTGGTAAGTCTTTTGTAGACGAAACGCGCAGCTGGCGTACACAATTGTAAGCCTGGTATCTACGACGAGTGTATTTGTCTACAAAAGACTCACCAGTGAGGCTCGAAAAGTTAAAAAGTCAAATAAAGTATGAAATTGTAGAGTATTGAGGACCCAAATTCTGGAAGGCTTGCCAAATACAGCTAAGGTCATCTATTCCGGGGCAGAAAATCCTGAGAAATTCAAAGAAAACAAAGTTTTTTGTTTACAGTAAATTTATAAATATGACTATATCAATGTTAATAATTGGATCACCAAATGAACTTCAACAATTAGCAAAATCGATATCATATATAAAGCTATTAAAGGCCTCGAGATTAAAAATGCGAAACAATTAAAAAAACATAATGGACCTGATCTCAGCTAAGAATATTATAACGAAAAACGGTTATGTCAGATTACTACCAACGACAACTGCTGGACTTCTACCTTCGGAAAGGTACTCAAAAAATGTGGCATGTTAAACATGTTTGCGAGCACTCAAAATTCCTATATTCCTTCAAAACAAATCGAATTAACAATTGTTTTTGACAAAAGACACATAAGGACAAAGTTTGTAAAATAATATAATTTGATTTTCTTTATGTCAACCCAAAAACCTGACACCCCGAGATGTGTTCTACGACAAGAAAACCTTCAATTATGCATTATCTGAATGATACACCGTCAAAAAAATATTGTTTTTATAAAGAATTGCAAAATTTAGCATCCTATTTTACCGACCACACTAAAGTGGGATATTCCTTTCTAATGCGTTCAGGTTTTAATACGCCCTACGGCTCATTTAGAATGTGAAATAAAACTCACTAATTAATCTAGATATAAACCTTAGAAATTATTATCCATACACAATAAAAATATTACTGTAACTGCATGAAGTAAGACACAAATGAATTGTTACCATCTGATAACGGTGTATGAAAAATACAAGACACTTTGTAAGTAATTTATTGTACCAACTTAGTTTATGGAAAGGGGGAGGTGCTATGTTTTTTTTTGTCTATTTGTAATGACATTTTATCGCGGAAAAATTATAATTCTTTCAACAATTTTAATTGAATCGAATGAAATATTCAGAATGATTTTCTTTTGAATAGTAATACATTTTTAACAGATAATCAGGATATAATTATATACCCTCCCCCCACCCGACCTCATTGTGAGGTACGTGAATGTTATTCAATAGAATATCAGAATATTTCATTAGTTAATCATTTGATAGAGTAAAAGGTATACATAAATATAAAAAAGTTAAGAACTGACACGAAGGGGGCACGAAATCGTGATACATGTACATGTTACACGAAAACGAATATCAATAAATGTAGGTCACAGTATGATTTCCTATTCAGTGTGTATCGTCTTGAACATGCATGAAATATTTGCCACTGAACGTTAAGTAACCATCAATCAAGCAACCTATTCAGTGTGAATCAATAAGATTTTCAAAATCTTACACACGAATATGTTAAATCTGGCATTATTTTAAAGTGTTATGAAAGTTTTACATGAAATCTCTGAAATCGATTACAAAGACAATTAAGGTTACAAACAATCACTGAGGGATTTACATGAACTCCAGAAGGAAATATCAACTTATTTTTGGGGTTGTTATAACGAGCATATGTATGTTAAGATAAAACGATGACTTGCTATAATTTCATAATAATAATAGACGGCAAGATGTTTCTTCTATTACTAGCATTTTATAATTTTTCATTTCTTCGTAAGTATCTTTTCCCCAATTCAGGCAATTTTTATATTTCCTTTTTGATAAAGCCATTGTCATTTTCGAAGAACTTGTTATAGATCTTATCCCCAATCTAATGACAATCAAAAATGGAATGTTTTTCATTGGTCCACGCTTACTTGTAACAGGTCTATGGATAAGCAGTGAACACAAGACATAGAACATTGACAGAATGAATACGTGTAAATGTTAAATGTTTTTGTATAATTAAAAAGCACACAACTAAATAGGAATCAACTTTACTTACAGTATATTTGCCTATATATTAATATAACTCCAGTTAAAATGAAATTGGGAAAATACATTTTTACGTAAATTCAATCTAAATATTTGCTACTAAAACTTCCTCTTTCTGGTATATAAAATACGCAAATGCCTATGACTAACAACAGGTATTTCCATAGTAGTAGTATGAGATGTGAATCATCAAAAACGTAGAAAAATATTTAAATGTGAAATAATCAACTTTTATAACAGGTAGTACCACTGTGTATCATCACACCCGGATATATAAGTAAAGAAACAATGAAAGCAAAAAGTATCTATTCTATTTCCCGTACTATTCGCGGTACAATTTATCCGAATCGCCGTACAATTTATCTGATTTTCTTACATAAAGTTCTCTGTGAAAACAATAGTTTATTTCGAAATGCAGTGTTGATCAAGCTTAAATATGAAATAACTTTGCTTTACAAAAACGTCAAATAAAATTGAGAATGGAAATGGAGAATGTGTCAAAGAGACAACAACCCGACCATAAAAGAGACAACAGCCGAAGGCCACCAATGGGTCTTCAATGCAGCGAGAAACTCCCGCACCCTGAGGCGTCCTTCAGCTGGCCCCTAAACAAATATGTATACTAGTTCAGTGATAATGGACGTCATACTAAACTCCAAATTATACACAAGAAACTAAAATTAAAAATCATACAAGACTAGCAAAGGCCAGAGGCTCCTGACTTGGGACAGACGCAAAAATGCGGCGGGGTTAAACATGTTTTTTGAGATCTCAACCCTCCCCATATACCTCTAGCCAATGTAGAAAAACAAACGTACAACAGTACGCACAGTAAAACTCAGTTTAAGAGAAGTCCGAGTCCGATGTCAGAATAGGAAACAAAAGAAAATAAACAAAATGACAATAATACATAAATAACAACAGACTACTAGCAGTAACTGACATGCCAGCTCCAGACCTCAATTAAACTGATTGAAAGATTATGTCTTCATCATATGAATATCAGGCACAATCCCTCCTGTTAGGGGTTAAGTATTATACCATCATAAAATATATGAGAAGATCATTACCCGTGTCATGCCAACAACTGGTTTTAGAATAAATATGTTTAATTCCGATGCAAAGACCCTATAAGTGAATCAATATTAAAGCCAAAATATGCAATATTTAATGACCTGACAACAGTATCGTAACTCTATCCCTTTTTAATAAGTCTGTTTAAAGGTTTTGTTAGCTTTTGAGGTGAATACTGACAGTTTTGTGCTTTGTAAAGAATATTACCATAAAAGATTGAATGTGAAATACCCGAACGTATAAGATGTCTGCATGTTGAGTTATATTTACGAATGATGTCCTTATACCGATGATAAAATTTAGTAAATGTTTTGACTAGTTTATGATATCGAAAACCCTGGTGTAATAATTTTTCAGTAATACATAAATTTCTTTCGCTAAAATCTAATACGTTGTTACATACACGAGCGAATCGTACAAGTTGAGATATATAAACACCATAAGATGGTGACAAGGGAACGTCACCATCTAAAAATGGATAATTAACGATAGGAAATGAAAAATGAATAGTTGAAGGATAAATGTGTTCTTAACTTGTCACATGCTTCTTTGAACAGGTACAAACGGTCCGATTCTGATGATTTGGAGATAGAGAAAGCCAATTCAGGATCATAAACAGCCCTAAATAGTAGCTACATTTGTTTATTCCACCGCTTCGAGGATACCTTTGTCCGGTGGTGATGCTACACAGTGAGTACAGCGATACCAACACTAGCGGCAAAGAAGAACGGAAAAGGTTTGATAAGCGAAATAAAAATAATTGTCTCTGAAATTGCAAAATAGTTATATCTAATTAATTCTTTCAGTAATGTTTCAATATGGTTAATTTTCTCTGTCTTGACAATGTAAAACAGAAAAATATTAAAACATCAATCACATATTATATGCTGATCAACACATTTTGTGTTATACATGTAGTAAATAATGCGTTGTCGATTTTTTTTTTATATCAGCTGATAATTTATTTGTAACAAAACATAAAAAATATCTCGTTATGAATGATGTGTCATGCGTTTATTGAGATTCGTATACGGTTGATATCCGTGTGCATTAAAATATTTATTCAAGCAAAGATTTAGGTCAAGAATGATGTGATATACGTTATTTTGATAACATACATCTACTTTATTTCTAAAGAAATATCAAAGTTTTCATCGTTAAAAAACTGGTTAACCTATCATTAAATCTTAAATTGTTTTCACTGACATCCATGTACTTTGAAAGATAACCTTAGTGATGAGGTTTATAAGTGTTTCTCGTTTCTCAGATTTTATATTAATTAGACCTTTGGTTTTCCTGTTTGAATGGTTTTACACTAATCATTTTTGCGGCCCTTTATAGCTTACTGTTCGGTGTGAGCCAAGGCTCCGTGTTGAAGGCCGTACTTTGACCTATAATGGTTTACTTTTACAAATTGTGACTTGGATGGAGAGTTGTCTCATTGGCACTTATACCACATCTTCTTAAATCTACTTTAAGAATATTCAAACGAAATTCTTGGGGGCCTATACTTTTAAATGTTCGAACTAATTTCAAACATAATAAATGTTTGAGGGTCTGGATGGGGGTCATAATTTCTGTAATTTTTTAGTGCATTTATCTTTATCTCAAAAAAACAAAACACATATTCTGTAAGATTTTCATGAATATGATTTTAGTATTAAATTTAATATGATTAGATGATTTCTTTATTATATACATTGATCTATATTTTCTAACCGATAATTGAATGTTCAGTGCATATTCCTCATTTAACTCTCTTTCAGAACAAATAAATAAACAAGGTTAGTATCTATGTTAACTGTAAGTTTGAAAGACGGAAATCAATCAGAAATGAAATATGTAATTTTCTTAACTGAACTTTACTAAGGTAATGTCATAAAACTCACTGTACTCCTAAAGTTCAACAACAAAACATTGAGAGCTATTTTATGCAAATTGTCAGTAACAATTGTATATGGAAATGATATTACTGTTGAGAAACACGCGAACTTTAACGTGACGTTGTGCGGACATTGGTAGGGATCGTTATGAAACTTATATTGTAACGTCATTCTTTATGGAGTTGTAACTCTGTACCTCAGTGTGGCTAACGTAATACAAATATACATCTTACAACTTTTTTTTCCTTCACAATATTATGTTGCCATGACAAAGAACATCGTTAAGCACAGTATATCTTGCAAAAACTAACATACCAAATGACAAAAACTGAAAACCACATAGAAGTGAGGTATCTGTGCACAATCGAAAGCCATGTATTTATTGCGGAGAGTCACATATCCCAAAAACATGTAAAAAAGTAATTAACCAAAAAACACTTCTGGAAGTCATCAAACAACAGAAAGCTTATTCTAATTGTCTTGGTAACCACAGAGTAGCAGATTACAAATATAAAGGAACATGTAAACAATGTGGACAAATACATCATACCAGTATTTGTACCAGTAAGAATCAGTTTCATTTTCGGGTACTAGTACCCCGCCTCATCAGATCAGCAAAGTATAGCCAAAACTGCACCAGCAATGCACTGCACTACTTATTTACAAGTTTTAGCTGCGATAGTCAATGTGCACTGAAACGCTCAAGTGAGCAAACATACTTTGCGATAAAATGGTTCAGAACTCGTTTATTACAGAGGTTCTAGTGGAGCACTAGAAATGAAACCACTAGGAACAGAAGTCATCTCTATTTCTGAATTTGGAGGAGGTAATGAGTCAGTATGCCATTTGAAAACCGCTAAAATATTTGTACACACTGATGACCGAAGCCGCATATAGCTGAATGTGCTAATTGTTCCTGAAAAAGCTTCACAAAGACTGATACATACTACCGAGACAACTAACTTACCGTATTTGCGCTGATTGAGAAATATGACCCACTCCCGTCCAACATCGACATAGATAGACGAAGACCAGAAAATTTAGTACGAATAAAGGCAACAGTAGTATACCGCTGTTCAAAAATCATAAATCGATTGAGAGAAAAAACAAATCCGGGATACAAACTAAAACCGAGGGAAACACATCAACTTTAAGATGAAAACAACGGAGCAACAGAAACACTGAAGTGCAACAAAAACAAACGCCAACATACATAGAAACAAACTATTTGATAACAACTGCCATATACACGAAGACTCAGCAACCAACGGTATTTACTTGAAAAAGAGGGGTTTTATTGAACAGATAGAAAACCCAACAACAAACACAGAATATTCGCATTACATTCCTCACCATTCAGTCAAGAAAGCGATGACAAAATCGATATTGTTTATGACTGTGGTTAAAGTGACAATATTTCAGCTATATATTCGAGTGAAATGACAATAAAGTTCACCCATTTTAATTTATATGAGAGACATTAATTTTAACGAGATATTTCATTTCATCTATATGTGAAATTTATTTTAGATCAAGGATCAATTTTTTCAGTTTATTTATTATATTAAGCCCTTTTCTGCTGCCCGGAGAATGTTGAGAAATAAACTTTAACGTGACGTTGTGCGGACGTTGATATGGATCATTTGGGAACTTAAATTGTAACGTCATTCTTTATAAAGTTGTTACTCTGTACCTCAATGTGACATACATCTTACAACTTTTGTATCCTTCACATTAGTTACATCACGTACTTGTACTTCTCTTTCTCTATGTGACGTCAATTAACAACAGAACACGGAAGGAACAAAAACACATCAAAATAAAGGTTAATATCACGTATCAAACAGTGATTAGTACAAAAACAAGTTTCCATTTATGATGAACGAGATGGATTTCATCATATCTCAGTTAATTAACCACGTTTATTTATCTGCATATTTCTCATTCAAATCTCTTTATTTCTTTATATGACAAAAAATCATTCCTAAAATGTATATTTTTAATATTGTACACCTTTTAATCTGTTACATGTTGGTTGTATAACTATGGAATCATTTAATGGGTTCTAACTTGTCAATCAATTTGAATTACCTGAAGCTGGTCTTTTGCGAGTGAGCTTACTTCAAAAAGGAACAACATAAAGTTCTACTATTCTATATTTAATTCATGGTATGGACATTGAGTGTTTTCAAATAATTGGAAAGAACTGAAATGTCAAGGAGAACATTTCAGCATCGGTATATTCCTTTTTTTGTCACTATAGTTTTAATTTTTTAATTTTTTTCACTATAGTTTTAATTTTTTCCCCGTAATCATCCAATTTGCTTTTATCTACTACATTCTCAACTTACCGATTTTATTTGAAAAAACATACTTATATGTACTAATCATCTTTCTTTGAAGAGATGTATATGACATGTTTACTTATAAACTTGGTGGTTGTCTGCTTCCCCTAAATAAAACTTACCAATGAATCTCAGATCACCCATATGCAGCATCTGAAATAAATTTGGTTGACTCACCATTGTTAAGTGCCAAACCTTTCGCAAATGTCACATTAAAATGAGTATCTACTTTTAAATTTCAACCTGAATATACCTGTGTGTTTATCTAAACTAAGCTGCAGTAGTCTTGATAAATATCTCGACTTATTTGTGAGTCATTTATCATTCCGGTTGAGGATCTAAGAGGAACCCCAATAGTTCTTTGACGTTGTATTTTCATTCAAAAGTTTTCCTGTTTTCCTCTTGTCTAGTATAACTGCCTAGTATAACTGCAAACTTACTTGTTTTACTATTAGTAGTTAACGCATTTTGATCTGAAACGGCCATTTTGATCTAAATAGCTCTTAAAAGACTGAACAATGAATTATTAATAAAATTGAGAATGGAAATGGGGAATGTGTCAAAGAGACAACAACCCGACCAAAGAGCAGAAAACAGCCGAAGGCCACCAATGGGTCTTCAACACAGCGAGAAAATCCCGCACCCGGAGGCCAGCTTCAGCTGGCCCTAAACAAAAATGTGTACTAGTTCAGTGAAAATGGACGTCATACTAAACTCCAAAACATATAAATGAACTAAAATTAAAAATCATACAAGACTAATAAAGTCAGAGTCAGTTTGAGTATTTCAGTCAATTATTCTAACCTAAAAGACAAATGAAATGAAATTTGTCTTGTTTCTTTCATAAAAAAAGATTGGTCAATCAAATACAAGTATCTTGTCTTAGGGAGGGATACATCGTACTTTATTAAAGAATATCGCTCTGATTCACAGAACAAAAATCTCTGAAGCTGACATTTTCAAGATGCTTCACTTCTTGATTATTGACAACATATTTGTTACGTTTGGAGGACAAACAATCGACATTCCCATTGGAACAAATTGTACTCCTCTACTAGCCGACTTTTTATCTTTTTTTTTCTTTTATTTCTATGGAGCTGAATTCATACAGGAGCTTTCCAGAAGAATGGAAAGACGCTAGCCTTATCCTTAAACATTCCTTTCCGCTATAAAGATTATGTCCTCTCACTAAATAAATAGTTTTGTGACTATGTTGAACGCAACTATCCAATCGAACTTGAAAGAAAGGTTACAACAGATACAGTCTGCCTCATATAATGACTTGCATCTAGAAATTAACAATGAGAGTCGGGTAAAAACAAAACTTTACGACACAAGAGATGATTTATGTTTCCAAATTGTGAATTTTCTATGTAGCAACATTTCATCAGCGCCTGCAAATGGAGTACATATCTCTCAATTGAAACGATATTCTAGAGATTGCATTTCCCATCATGGTTTCATTGATACATGGTTGCTGCTCAAAAGGAAGCTAATGAACCAAGTGTTCCAAGCTGTGAAGTTGAAATCAATCCTTCGAAAATTTTACGGACGCCATCACGAGTTGGTTGACCGTAATGGAATATATGTTTCACAGATGACAACGGATATGTTGCAATTGTCGTTACAACAATCCTTGTACCTGTATACATCGACATTATACTGAATCGTCTGAAAAGGTTACAAACAGTACTGAATTGGCTGCAATCGAATTTTAAAAACAGTACTGAATGTAAAGTGGTGGACAAGTATGAAAATTGCCTGGAAGACTGAATAGTTTATTGTTCAGACTTTTCAGATAATGTTAAGATCAAGATGACCGTTTCAAACTTAATTTTATTTACTAGAATCCCTTGAAAAATCCCGAGTGGTGAAGTTGAAAACATCTCTGCGAAAATTTTACGGATACCATTACGAGTTGGTTGACTTTTATTAAATATCTGTTTCACAGATGATGACGGATATGTTCCAATCGAGGTAACAACAATCCCGTTCTCCTTTTCACCAAATGTGACCTAACGAATTAGATTTATAACCGGGTTTGTACTAAAATGAGCAACACAATGGATGCCAAATGTGGGGAAGGATCTGCTTATACTTTCAGATCACCTGAGATCACTCCATGATTTTGCACGGGTTTGTGTTGCTCAGTCTTAAGTTTTCTATGTTGTGTATTGATTATTGTTTGTCTTTCGGTCTTTTTCGTGCTTGCCATGACGTTGTTAGTTTAGTTATCGACTTATGAGTTTGAATGTTCCTTTAGTATCTTTTCCCTCTCTTCTAGTACTAGTGGTAAATTCTGGTAAAAAGTAAAATAACAAAAATACGGAACTCTAAGGGAAATTCAAAACGTAAAGTCCTTTATTTAAGAATTGAATGCTTCTTTTTGTAAATTCATTGGGGTGTAAAAGCGTTGACCGAAGTACATTTTGTATGAAACGTGGAAGCGCTTCATTCTAAAAATGTACACACGGTCAACGCTTTTACAACCCTATGAAATTACCAAAAGAAGCATTCAATACTTATAATTACATTTTTTCACTATGATCATGAATTAACATGATTACTATCAAGTTTTTCTTTTATAAACCTGTGCATTTTATTGTGGAAACGTGTGTCATCATGTTTCAATTCATGCAATTCATTTTGAAATAAAGAATGACGCGAGATTGCTGTTAGCCAATCAAAATAACGTATAATAATGAAACATACATCTAATGTAATTATAAAATGGTAAAATCAAAAGATCAAACACATCGTACGAATGAAAACAAAGTGAAGACTATTACAGACATTTTTTATTCAAACAAGAAAAGGTGTTTAGCTAATTTTTTTTTCTCAAGAATATATCTAGTAATCGTAATTCAAATTCTGACATGTAACATCTATAAATTCAGAATCCAATTCCTGAAGAATTTGACACTTTATATAAATAACCAAAGATGTTTCATCCATACATTTTTGTTTTAATAAAAATTCTGTTAAATGTCTCCTGTACATGCTCCTTGTTTGAACTGATAAAATTTGTTCTCTGGCGCTAGCTATGATAAGTTAAAACAATACAAAATTGCAAACCTTTGTTCTAATTTCAAATTTTATTCATAAATCTTTATAAATAATAAAATAGTGCAACGGTAAAAATATGTTTCTTTTAATTTTTGAGGTATTGACTATTTATGAGATATTGTAAAATTATGTGAAATGTTAATATATAGTAGCGTATTATAAACAGCAGGAAGGTAAGTATACAAGTTGGATCAGCTTTATACAGTTTCGTACATATTGGTATCTGTTGTCAAATCATAAGCATGTTCTGTTGTTGTCTTCATTGTATCTTGGTATATTCTGAAAATATTGCCATATCATAAATGAATGCTTTCTTCTTCCTAAAAAGTGCATTTTTCACCTTTTATGTTTATAAACATATCCATAAACTATTATACCATATATATATATATATATATATATATATATATATATATATATGAATTGCATAGGATACATGAACTATGCACTTTGTATGTCCACTCCAATTTTTCAATGGGAAATTAATCGGACTGCCATTTGTCAGGCCATCAGAACGAAATGTTCAAACAATTTCGTTTTCATAATTACAACTTAGGTGGATAATGTTGGACTTGAAGGTTATACTATAAAAAAAAAATGTAATAAGAATATCTACCATTGACAGCCAAATATTGCTCAAGTGAACTTCCAGTAAATCAATCTATTACATGAGATGTATGTGTATTTCATATTTAATTTTGATTATTAAGGATGTATTCCTCTGACGTTTCAGTCTCGTTGAAATCTCGTTCTGAAATTATTTTCAAAACATGTGATACAAGTGGAAAATATCAATGAATTTAAAAAATATTATAACCAAACTTAACTCTGTGAAAAAATTGTGAATTTACAATAAGTAGTTTTTGAGTAATAAAATTTTAAAATTTTATAACTTATCAAGTCAGTCTCTTTAGCAAAAATGTTGAGAAAATGGGTGAGGGGTATAAAAAAATGATTTTACCAAAAATATGTACTTCCCATATCATTTTTTTCTTTTTGAATTTCTCAGATATGTTTTTTTTCAATCATTTATAAAAAAGCAGTTGAAATAATATGCTTTTTGTTCTAAAAAAAGAGAAAAATCCCAAATTTACAAAATTGACAGCATAGGAAATTTGAAAAAGCAACAAAATTTTATAAAACTTTCTTATATTAACACCTATCTATAATGTTTTTGAGTTAAATTTATTCAAATTGGTCCACTTCATCTTTAGTGAAAGTATGAAAAAAGTTTAATCGTGAAACTGTGAATTTTTTTCATAATAATACCCCAAAAATGGGTAAAAATTGATGAAAAATGGGAAAATCATCAAAATTGGGTACTTTCAAATGGCCGATGCAAACTAGAGGCTCTATGTCTTGGTCTATGTGCATATCAAACAAAGGACACTCTTCAATATTGTAGACGAGAATAGACTTCACGACAAAAATCTCTATTTTGTTGATCTTGTATTACTGATCTTTTAGTCTGTTTAGTTTCTCTCTATCGTCTTTAGTTTTTGCTCAAAACACAGAAGAGGGTTACAAAAATCCTCATTTAAGGGCAATTACTCCTATGAAGAGTGACAGTCTACTAACTATATCGGCAAAATTTGACTTTTTAATAGGTCTTGCCTTGCTGATCATTTTTGTGATTTAAAGTGTTCATTTATCTATTATAATTTAAATCATATAAGGCATAACGGTAAAAAAAAGTTCTCTCTAAATATCATAGTTTTTAAAAGGCAAAAATGAAAAAAAAGTAAAATTTGTCGTTTATTGGCAATAACTCCTAACAGTTTTGACGTATATGGACAATTGGTAGAGCTCATTATTCTGAACATTTTTGCTCATTTCAGATTTTCTCTATTTATAACAGTTCAAAAAATAATAGACAAAAAATGTATTTTACCCCTATGTTCTATTTTTAGCCATGTCGGCCATGCTGGTTGGCAGGTGGGGTCATCGGACACATTTTTACAACTAGATACCCTTATGATGATTGTGGCCAAGTTTGGTTAAATTTGTCTCAGTAGTATCAAAAGAGAAGATTTTTGTAAAAGATAACAAAAATTTACAAAAAATTGTTAAAAATTGACTTTAAAGGGCAATAACTCCCTAAGGGGTCAATTGACTATTTCAGTCATGTTAATTTATTTGTAGATCTTACTTTGCTGAACATTATTGTTGTTTACAGTTTATCTCTATTTATATTAATATTCAAGATAATAACCAAAAACGGCAAAATTTACTTAAAATTACCAATTCAGGGGCAGCAACCCAACAACGGGTTGTCTAATTTGTCTGAAAATATCAGGGCAGATAGGTCTTGACCTGATGAACATATTTATCCGAGTCAGATTTGCTCTTTATGCTTTAGTTTCAGAGATATAAGCCAAAATCTGCATTTTACCTCTATGTTCTAATTTTAGCCATGTCGGGCATCTTGGTTGGCGGGCAGGGTCATTGCACACATTTTTTAACCTAGATACCCTAATAATGATTGTGGCCAAGTTTGGTTAAAATTGACTCAGTAGTTTCAGGGGAGAAGATTTTTGTAAAAGATTACAAAAATTTACAAACAATTGTTAAAAATTGACTAAAAAGGGCAATAACTCCTTAAGGGGTCGATAGACCATTTTGGTCATGTTGACTTATTTGTAGATCAATTTGCTGTACATTATTGCTGTTTACAGTTTATCTCTATCTATAATAATATCGAAGATAATATCCAAAAACTGCAAAATTTCTTTAAATTTACCAATTCAGGGGCAGCAACCCAACAACGGGTTGTCTGATACGTCTGGAAATTTCAGGGCAGATAGATCTTGACCTGATGAACAATTTACTCCAAATGCTTTGGTTTCAGATATATAAGCCAACATCTACATTTTACCCCTATGTTCTATTTTTAGCCATTGCGGCCATCTTGGTTGACGGGCCGGGTCATCGGACACATTTTTTACACTAGATACCCCAATGATGATTTTGGCCAAGGTTGGTTAAATTTGGCCCATTGGTTCAGAGGAGAAGATTTCTGTAAAAGTAAACAGACGACGACGGACGACGGATGCCAAGTGATGAGAAAAGCTCATTTGGCCCATTTGGGCCAGGTGAGCTAAAAAAAAGTGCACCACCCTATGATTTTTTCTTCACCAATTATTTTTTTACAGTCATATAAACCCAAAAATCAGTTTAAGAAAAAAAGTTTAATTCTAGAAATTTTTGGCTCCTCTGAGGTGTACATCCTTAATATCTAATTCATGAATTTGACAAATTAAAAAAAAAAAACGTTTTTCTGTTTTTATTTTAATCAGCAACTCTAACTCTCAAAAACTGAAAGCCATTATTAGGCTTTAACGGTTCTTATGAAGGTAAATTCAAAACAAGTAAAGCAGAAAAAAATAACAGTTTGGCCAATAGTCTAAATGGTTGTTTTCATCGCAAAATATGAGAATTGATTAAACCATGAAAATATTATTCTTCATTGATAAAGGTTTAAGACTTTAAAATCAAGGTTGCATACATCTAAACAATCAAAAAATGTTCAGCGCTAAGCTTTCTGTGTGGTGTATTGTGGACTTTTTGTCTTTTCGTCGTCTTTTGTATTGTCCATGGCGTTGTCACTTTAGCTTCTTTTTATGAGTTTTGAATGTCCCCTTTGTACTATTCTGCCTTTGTTGAAAGAGTTTCTCTTTTAACACTGTACTACATACTGAAGATTTATACATAGAAATTCACCAATCAAATTGAACTCAGAAAAACTTTTTGATTGGACATAAACATATGTCTCGCCTTCATCGACATAATTTAATCAGATTAAAAAGAGGCCTAAATATATTGTACACTGTACAATGTCGTCTGATTTGCTCTTTCAAGGAATGTCTTTTTTTCTTTTCCATATTTTGACATTTTGTCTGAGTAGATCCGCATGGCGGATGATGCATGCATAACAGGCGACACTAACCCTGTCAACGCGCCCGGTCTTTTTGATTTCATGCAATTTATTGTTTTTTTGCTAACTTGGTTTGAACATCAATAAACTGCTGTTGCCCTTATATAAAATACATGTATGTATAGTTTAGGGTTAAAATCTGAACAGCTCAAGAAAATTGTAATCATTTTTTCGTTAAAAGGGGGAGTCGGTGGTGCTGGGAATTACTTTCGGGAACAAAACATATGGTACAATGAAAAGAATTTGTCATGAGTCTATGTCCATACGTTGTCCAGACACGCACTAGGTTTTGCCTGCAGGTGAAGGATATTGCTGCCAACATAATGACACATCATACACCAATCTGTCAACGTTCTGCACATAGCAGGGCAAAACGAAAACGCCAAATTCAACACCTGTATGCAAGATTCGTTCATCACATCTTTGGAGAACAAAACAAGACTCATCGTTGAACCAAATTCGGCGCCAGTTCGAGACACTCAGTGAACAACAGTCCAACAAATACATGCACGTCTATGTACCTTGGTCAATACTGGGCAAATGTAAAGTCTTCCTGGCCGAATTCCTTGTTGGCAAAGCCTGTTAAAAACTGCCTAGGTGACAATTTTCCGTAAATATATGGTACTAGCAGCAGCAGTTGTTGCAGTAACTGCTAGATTACGTATATGGCAAACCCAGATATACCGTTTTTTGGTGTGATCTAACAACAAATTTTCGATATGATAAATGAACAGTTTTTCGGCAAAGTAGCTCGAACCTTCATTTTTCAGGATTTGAAAAAATCTCTTGGCGAGTTGTAAAATTGCTTTTACCGGCATTTTGGGATCGGTTTCTGGCTGTTTAAAAAGATATACTAATACTAACTAGTATTTAGGGTAAACATCACAATTGGAATATAATATTAATTTGTCGTAGATGGGTTCGGCAATTCTTTTTATGCCCCCTTTGATCATATAGCTCGTCAAGTATTTCTACATTCCTTGCTTTAAAATTTTAGAGTTTGAGCGTTCCTGAAGATGGAATATCAAGAAAATTAAAGCACATCGGTTGCATCAAATTACAATATTATTTGAATTTTTCATTTTACCGTACATTTAGATACACTTGTACATGTATGTAAAGGAAATGTCTATAGTTTGGTGGGTTTCAAAAATGGGTAGACGTTTTAAGTTTTTTTTCAGATAGAAACTTTTTTATTTAAAGATATAGACTTTCCTATATACGATTTATTTACATCATTTCCAGTTTTAGACATGTTGAACGCATCTATCCCATCGAACTTGAATTAAGGATACAATAGATACAGTTAAGCTTTCCTCATATCTTGAAAAAGAGAGGCGAAAGATACCAGAGGGACATTCAAACACATAAGTCGAAAATAAACTGACAACGCCATGGCTAAAAAAGAAAAGACCAACACACAAACAATAGAACACAAAACACAACATAGATAATTAAAGACTGAGCAACACGAACCCCACTAAAAACTGGGGATGATCTCAGGTGCTTTAGAAGCGTAAGCAGATCCTTGACTTACATATAGAAATTGACATGAGGCTTGGTTGAGAACAAAACTTTATGACAAAAGTGATGATTGTGAACTTTCCATTTCTATACAGAAACATTCCAGCAGCTCCTGCATTTGTAGTTTATATCTCCCAGTTGATACGATATTTCAGGGCTTGCATTTCCTTTCATGATTTCCTTAATAGAGGTTGCTGTTCACAAGGAAGTTATTAAACCAAGAGTTCCAAGTGTTAAAGTTGAAATAATCCCTTCGTTGTTTGACGGGCGTCATTACGAGTTGGTTGACCGTAATTGAATATCTGTTTTACAGATGAGAGCGGATATGTTCATAATGTCGTAACTACACTCCTGTCTCCTTTACCCGAATGTGACCTACCGAATTAGACAAGGACGATATCTAACCAAGCGTGAAGTTGAAATCAATCATCCCTTCGAAAATGTAACGGACGCTGTCATGAGTTAGTGGATTGTTAAAGCATATCTGTTTCACAGATAACGACAAATATGTTCAAATTGTCGTTAGCACAATCCCATCCTCTTTTCCCCAAACTTGACCTTCCGAATACCAACTGGTTTGTACTTATATGAGCAACTCGACGGGTGCAACATACGGAGCATGATCTACTAAATTACACTTCCGGAGCACCTGAATTCTTCCCCGACATTTTGTGGGGTTCGTTTCATTCAGTCTTTAGCTTTATATGTAATGTTTTTTATACTTTTGTTTGTCTTTTAGTCTTTTTCGTTTTTTGACATGACGTTGTCAATTTATGAGTTTGAATGGCATTTTTGTATCTTAAATATCTCTTTTAAACATTATCTAAATCCGGAATCAATGGTTTCAATATTTCTCACACTTTCTTTCTGATAACGGAAGGTGTTTTCATATTATTTGAAAATTCATTTCAATGTAGGTATTTTATTTTCTGTTAACTTATACATTATTTTCGTGTATACTCTGTGATTGTTTTTACCATTGTTATTAACCTTTTTTTTTTCTTCGTTCTTTTCGTTATAATACATCAACGACGGTAATAAACACTAAATTTAATTTTACTTATTTACAGGCAACAGTAGTTAACAAATGCACACCACTATTATTATTATTATTATTATTACAAGGCATTTTAGGTTGCACTTTGTAAATACAGCCGTTTCACAAACCACGCCTCTTTTGGGGAGATATATAATATTCATAGATATTTTGTTGGTTTACGTACTGATTCCCAGATATGATCTCTACGTTTCATCTCATAGAGACATAACTTGGGAATGTTACCAGTATATTTACACATGGTTGCAGGGAATTTTGAATTCTGAGGGTCACCTAAAGTGAAGGTAGGGGTAGTACAGAACTTTAGTATAAGTTTAAACTCTTAGAAGTTCGGGGCATATAAATTTTGAAAATATGCCGCACAGCCCTATGTTTTTACCTTTGAATAAAATAGTAGTGAATATCAACATTCAATTCTAGGATATAATTTTTCACGAAACTTCATAGTAATAGTGGTACATTTTTAGCCGTAAAGGGAGTTCCTATGGGAAATTGCATTGTCTATATTTACAGAAATGCAACCTTATTTAACACTACAATTACTCTAAGCGCTTTACATATTCAAATATATACACAAATTCGTACATACACGAAACTGCAAAGTAAAAAAAAAACAAAATACGTTTAAAAGCATACACGATTTTCTCGCTGTGTTGAAGACCCATTGGTGGCCTTCAGCTGTTTTCTGCTCTTTCGTCGGGTTGTTGTCTCTTTGACATATTCCCCATTTCAAACTTCACCAAATTGGTTAAAAATGGATTAAAAGAATTATCAATGAATTAGTAAAAATCTCAATAATTATTATCTAAACTAAATAATATAAATAATATAAATACTATTCTGTTATCTTCAGATCTAAGACCGCAAAAACATGTCGGTAGTTATATGAGACACATGTATATCGTATGGGTCAACCAATTCGTGATAGTGACCGTACAACTCATGAATTACTGGTATCAATGTCAGTCAATATTTTAATAACTCTGTTTAAGCAACGTTTGTGTCAGGAGCAGACCTCTGCTACGCAGATGTTATGTAAATGCTCAGAAATATATACAGGAAGTTGATAATTACAGAGTTCTTGTTGAGGTCGTCTATCTGCGTTTGTATCGAGGAAAATATAAAGATATAAAGCACACCTTCTTATTTCGGTAGTATTCTTAATTTCAAATTTACTGGGATATATGAGACGCAACCACTCAAAGGAATGTCGGTTATCGATTCAAATGTTATCATTGTATCGGAAAATGAAATTGAAGATTTTAGCAAGATGTTTTTTTTCTTTTTGTCATTGAGAAAAAACTGTATGAATTGGAATATTTACTGTCAGTTGAAACACTAATCTACCGAACTAAAATCTATTAAATTCTTGATAAAAAAATGTCAAGCGCTTTCATATCATCAACGTTGTTTTTATAATATTATCAATGTCGTTCTTCGCATTTAGTAAGATTTTTCATGCACGAAATCAAGCATTCTCATGCGAGAGAAAGGCGGATTTGTCATTTTCTAAAATCTCATTTTTCAGGAATTAATGATGTAGGGTATGTGTGAGATTCCAAGATTTACTACGAATTGCAATTTCTATAGTCAGACCTTCCAAATAACGATTTTTACATATTAAAAAATATTGTTTGAGACTTTAAAAAACCCGTGTGCTAAATGCGTAAGGTATTTATAATATATTAGTATTCATACCAATATTTTTACCTGTCGCAGGTTGATAATGGTAGATAATGATTAATGACATATAATACATTTTGGAACGGAAAATATTTACACTCACTGCATGCTCTACCAATGGACGGTAAAATAAGGGAAAACTCGAGAGGAAATTCGTTCATCAATCTCGGAATACAACAATAGTGGCGCACATGTATATTTTGAAATTAAATGATATAAACCAAGAAAATGAGACATGCTTGTCACCGGGGTTCAAAAGCCAAACAAGGACAAACAGATAAACAAATCTTCTAAAATAAGGCCACAGTAGTTTATCGATGTTTAAATCTCGTATATCGATGATTCACAAGCTTACGCGTTAACCCCAAAACAGCCTTAACGTTCTTATATCACCGTTCATCTGGGAAGGGGGTGAGTTGTTCACGCTTTGTTGTCAATATAATGGAATTTAAGCGACTGTCATACAAGTGAGAGGTTTAGCTAGCTATAAAACCAGGTTTAATCCACCATTTTCTACATAAGGAAATGCCTGCACCAGGTCAGGAATATGACAGTTGTTTTCCATTCGATTGATGTGTTTTGAGCTTTTGGTTTTGCCATTTGATAAGGGACTTTCCGATTTGAATTTAACTTGGAGTTTGGTATTTTTATAATTCAATTTTTTTGTAGCACTAGTTTTTTTTTGTGTAATTACATGTGTAACATAAAGATTTATAGTCCAAATGAAATATCTAAACCATACAAATGGCTATTTTGCATATGGTTTCATTAAATACTAACAGTGCATCAGTCCCGACTAGTCCAAATGAAAAATCTAAACCATACAAATGGCTATTTCGCATATGGTTTCATTAAATACTAACAGTGCATCAGTCCCGACTAGTCCAAATGAAAATCTAAACCATACAAATGGTTATTTCGCATATGGTTTCATTAAATACTAACAGTACATCAGTCCCGACACCCAGCCTGAAGTAGTAATGTTAACGAACGATACATATTTCGCGTCTGATGTACACAATTTTAATTCTGGTATATATGATGAGTTTATTCACTACATCCATGCTAATGAAGAAAAATGAATACGTGATAAACATTTATCACGTTTATTGCCATAAAAGCGGGAGGTTTGGCATGCCACAAAACCAGGTTCAACCCACCATTTTTTTCTTAAAATGTCCTGTACCAAGTCAGGAAAATGGCCATTGTTATATTATAGTTCGTTTCTGTGTGTGTTACATTTTAATGTTGTGTTTTTGTTGTGTCGTTGTTCTCCTCTTATATTTGATGCGTTTCCCTCAGTTTTAGTTTGTAACCCGGATTTGTTTTTATCTCTATCGATTTATGAGTTTCGAACAGCGGTATACTACTGTTGCCTTTATTTATAATCACAAAAACTAAAAGTACCTAAATAAAACAGGCACACCGTTTTCAAATGACCATTGAAGAAGGTTGTGATGTTTTTATAATTAGAAACCAAATAAATTGATTAAAATCTTACCTTTCTTTTTTCCACTTTATAACAATTATACCTGGAATTATATAAGATTAAAAAAGGAAGGAATGATAACAATTATCACTCTTTTCTCTCTATTCAAATTTAATAGATACAGTCGTACTGGACATTTATGAAACCAAACTAGCATTCAAGTTGCCCTAACGATTCTCTCGCGTAAAGCTCGTGATGTGGACAAAAATCATAATTAATTTGTTAACGCACTTTGAATGTAAAAAAGCCAAGGCTCCGTGTTGAAGACCGTACTTTGACCTATAATGGTTTACTTTTATAAATTTTGACTTGGATGGAGAGTTGTCTCATTGGCACTCATACCACATCTTCTTATATCTATGTATACCAAAATGTCATTATTTATTACGAACTTGGTACATATTTAACTTTAATTGCTTGTTAGATGCCAAAACATAGATGTGAGCCGTGTGGATACAATCATTCCCGACTATAACAGACCAAAATAGACAAAAAATGAAATTATCTTCATGTAAATCCCTTGATTAATGGTAAAAACGTAAAATAGTAAAATAAACAGTCGTTTTGCAAGAAAACAGTTAAACTAAAGAAAAAGTGGATTTGGAAACGATAACCAATTAGCGACTGACGTCGCACATAGATTATCGGTGACGAATCTATATTTCTTATAAATTCTCTGTTACGTACTTGAAAGATTATACATCTGAAAATGAGTACAGGAAACGCTTTACCTCTATAATAACGGTATAATACTAGTAAATCACAAAAGCCACAAGTGCAAGCAAAACATTAATAAGTATACCGTATCAAAGAAAGCTTGAAGTTACACCAAGCAAGCTCTAATTATTTAACCTGCTGATATGAAATTTATCCATCATTCATTCTAAGATTAAAAGATAACTACTAAACCTGTTAGCTAATAAATTATATATTCGTAAATAACTAGGTGTTAATACCGCTTTTTTGTGTAACTACTACATGTGGAAACTTACTTCAACAATATTCATCTATAGTTGTGATAATTTAGGGTTTGAAAAAATCTACGATTTCTTTATCCCTGCTGTATTTATTTAGTTTTTTTTTTTTAAACTTTCATTGAAATCTGTGATGTCATAGCAAACACACAAATATCTAAACAACTTATAAATGAACACTTATTAAGAGGGAGCCATCGACATATCATCATTAGAAGAAGAATAAGAAGAAAAAATAACAATTTAATCTATTTTGTTTAAGTCATGGATATATGTGTGTGATTAATTTCAAGAAGTTGTTTGTTTTTATAGTGATTAAGATGATAACTCAATGTTGACTGCTGTACCCCTATTTTTGACATTTTTACCTATTGTGTCTCTTTGTTTTGTTCACGCATCGTTGTCAATATAATAGAATTTGATGAGATAAAGTCAGAGGTTTAGATAGCTATAAAACCAGATTCAATCCACCATTTTCTACATAAGAAAATGCCTGTACCAAGTCAGGATTATGACAGTTGTTATTCATTCGTTTGATGTGTTTAAGCTTTTGATTTTGCCATTTGATAATGGACTTTCCTTTTTGAATTTTCCTCGGATTTCAGTATTTTTGTGATTTTACTTTTTACTATGTTAATTAAAGGTGGAGATGTCGAATAAAATTATGAGACAACAACCAAACATAACAAACGAAAATAATATTTGATCTTTGATGGATAGTTATCTTATTTGCAATTATACCACATCTCCTTACTTTTTATTCACACTATAAGCAGCTGTATGTTTGACTTACTTTTGACCTTCTTGTAGATTACGGCTACACTTTCTGATTTAGATATTTTTGTATTTTAGGACTTAAATAGTTACAAAAGGCGTTTTATGTTCATACTAAAAGGTTCTATAGTCAGGCTTGGTATGGGAAACATGTTTTGAATGTGCTTTCAAAATATTTTTTTGGCATCTTTTAGGTCTCTTAATTTTAAAAACACCATGCTCTGGAAAGGTACAAATACAAAAACAAATATGCATTTATGTCAGGTGATGGGTTCCTAATGCCTTTAGTATGAGGCGTATAAAGTGTGTGGCTTTATAACGATCCAAAATAGAAAATGTGTACATACCTTTTTTGTAAAACGTTACTGAGATGATGAATCCTATAATTACCACTGCTAAGAGAATAATCGTGCAACCTAGTAGAAGTATCTCCCTTTCTGATGAGCATTCTGAAAGTGGTAAAGTGATGGATTTTAAACGACGTATCCGTGTAAAAATGCTTATGAACCTTTTTGCTAGTGTACTTGATTGAAATGGGTTGTTTTGAGATATAAAAACACTAGTTTGACTTATTATCATATCGATGGACTGATGCAGGCAGGAACCCTGTCAGTGTTTTCAAATGTAATTCATATTTTGGTGAGGAAATTCGTGTTCATGGAAGATCTTTGATCCTTTACCTTATATTATTGTGTAAAAAACGGGAGAAGGAGAGCTTCATTTATTATATTATTGGAAAGACACCTATACTATGGAACGCCATCACTGCATATAAAAAGAAACTACTATGACATGATGCAAATGTTGCTTACATCATGTCAAAACACTTTTACTTCATATTAATTATCAATCACTTTATCTGAAATCTTTATCATTCGGTATGAAAAAACTGTTACATGATTTGAATACTTCATTACATGATGTTAATTCTTCATGACTTGATGTGGTTACTTCGTTATGTGATATGGTTACTTCCTTAAGTTGTGTGGTTGTTTCATTTCCTGATGTGAAAATTTCATTACATGATGTGAACATTTCATTACATGATGAGAAAATAAAAACATGAAACATGATGCGAATACTTTAATATATGATGTGAATATTGAAGTACGTAATACTAGTACTGCATATACGTGATGTCAAATGTCATCTCTATGATATTAGTTCTTGTGGCGAAAAAAAACATGAAAAATGGTGTTTTCACCACGTCCGCAAGCTGGTCATTTTTAATGAGAACGTCAAACTTTTGTGTATTTACAACTGGGAGTAATCCGGCTTTACAAAACCAATAAGGACTAATCAAAATATTCATTTTCGTTTTAGCAGGATCCGGACGTAAGGGAACGACTATTTGATTTTGAGAAGGGAGGAGGGGGAGCGGGGCTGGTAGATTTTAGAAATATTCTAGCATAAATTTCATGTTAATTAAGAATAAAATATACAATCTCACCATATAGTGGTTGAAATTTGTTTTTTTATAATATAAAAATAAGGAGATGTGCTATGATTGCCAATGAGACAACTATCCACCAAAGTTAAAATGAAGTGGATGTAAGCATATAGGCAACCGTACGGCCTTCAACAATGAGAAAATCCCATACTGTATGGCTGACATGAAAAATATTAAACAATTCAATTGAGAAAACCACTTCATTTTAACTTTAGTGGATAGTTGTCTCATTGGCAATCAAAGCACATCTCCTTATTTTTATATTATCTATATAGTTTGAAATGTTTGTTTGTAACTCTAGAAACCAATTTGCCACTTAAAGCTATTCTGGAGAGAATTCATTACTTGTCGTTATATATGTTGTATTTTCTTGGTATTATTTTGGATCTGTTAGGGGCTACCATTTGATTCTGAGGTGGTGGCCTGGCAGATTTGTTCGGATCAGAATATTTATTTTCCAATTTTTTCGTGTCTAAAAAATTTACAACCGCTATATGGCGAGATTGTTTATTTTATTCCTACTTAACATGAAAAATATTAAACAATTCAATTGAGAAAACTAACGGCCTAATTTATAACAAAACAATTTACGAAAAAAAAATATGACAGACATGAACCAACGACAACCACTGAACTACATGATCCTGACTTGGGACAGGCATATAAAGAATGTGGCAGAGTTAAACATGTTTGTGAGCGCCCAACCCTCCCCTAACCTGGGACAGTGGTGTAACAGTACAACATAAGAACAAACTATAAAAATCAGTTGAAAAAGGCTTAACTCGTCAGATGGATACAAATAGAAATACATCTAACAAAAACACAGAGTGGACGTGGACGAGTACTTATACATCCCCACAACAAAAAGACACTAAGTACAGATCTGAGAGTACTCGAAGTTACTGACAGCTAGTTCAAAGCCAATAACAACTAGTAAAAATCAAAACATGTATCTAAGAATCAAATATCAATCAGTACACATCCAACATTGTAGTATCGTGAAAGTACATATGTGAACTATTTAGTATGGTTTTAATTTACTGATAACGAATAGATAAATAAGTTACAGTTGAGCAGGAGATTTAACAAAAGATCATATGAAATAATTGAGTGATAAGGATAATTGCTGTCACATTAATTAGCACGTAGTGAAATAACAAGTCAAATGTATGTGAATGGTTTATATATTCACCGCAGATTCAAGTCAGAACAAACGTCGAAAAATAAGGAAGAAATGTATTTAATACATACAATGTAACATTACACCACCCAGCGGAGTGACAACCCAAAAGAAAGAAAAAAGTGGACATTTGTGTGAAAGAAAAACAAGCTACTCTAATGAAAACAATTTTTTTTTGTGGAGGGAGACTGACGATTCGTGCCAGATTGCCAAATGCCAAATTGTCGAATCCCAAATTGCCGAGTCCATATAGCCGAATCCCAGTTTGCCGACAGTTTAGTATTTTCGGATTTTTACTTGACATTCCCAGTTGTCCGAACCCATATTGTCGAATCTAGTTTGCCAACTTTAAACTAGATGCTATCAGGAGCCTGCCTTGCTCAATTAGAATAAGTAAGCTCTAAGTAGTCTTGTTATTCAAATTAGTGGACTCCCCATGCTGATCATTTCTAGAAAAACAATGATCGGCTATCTTCAATAGTTTTCAAGATAATAGCCAAAAAATGAAAAACTTGATATTTCAGGGAGCATCACTTTTACGGTAGTCCGATTTTGCTGACCATTTGAAGACATGTAAAACTTTTCATAATGATAACTTTTGCAATACGATTGATCAGCTATAATTGATAGTTTTCAATATAAAGGTAACAAACAGAAAATGGAATATATCAGCGATCATAATTCCTAGGAAGGTAGTCCTATTTTTATGAAAATGTTCAGGCAGGTAGAATTTGTTATGATAATCATATCTGCAATGTTCAATAAAATACAAGCTATCGTCTATAATTTTCAAGATAATAAAATATGCCTCCTTTTTTCTTTTAAATGCCCTTATGCCTTTTCTTTCTATAAATACATGTATGGTAACGTCAGAGAGGTTCCGTGTTCTTATAAAGATGTGTTGAAATGATGACGTGTTCACATAACGTCACACCGGTATGTGTTTCTTACCACGTAATACCTATTTGACATTACAATGTATATCTTTTTTTCCAATGTTATAGAAATAGGACATGATGACATTTTAACATCGTGTAATGAAATTTTCACATTAGAAAATGGAACAACCCCATCACGTAATGAAGTTATTACATATTGTTATGGTAACCACATCAAGTAATGAAGAATTAACATCATGCAATGAAGTATTCATATCATGTAATAAAGTATTCGTATCATGTAATAGTGTTTTCAAACCAAATGATAAAGATTTCAGATAAAGTAATGGAGAATTCATATGAAGTAAAAGTGTTTGACATGATGTAAGCAACATTTGCATCATGTCATAGTAGTTTCTTCTTATAAGGCAGATATGGTGTTCCTAGACACCTGTCTGTTGTTGGAATATGTATATTTACTCCTGGATGTCTGTTTACTTCAATATAAATAATTTGATATTGCATGTATAGCAGGAAGTGCTGACTATACAGAGGCACTTGTGTTTTTTCGTAAATAGTTCGTGTGATTTCCACTATCGTGTTTGTTTGTTTGTACCTTGATATGTTAACAAACATAGGTAAGTACTGAAGTTGGCATGCTTTCTTCTATATACGGTTTGGTCTTATTCTCACGTGACTGTCGAAAGTTTGTGCACATTTTCTCATGAATGTCTTCATCTTTATGTTTTTCATTAGTAGCAATTGATATACGTTCTTTTTTTATGAAACAAAGTGGAACCAACTTTTTTGTCTTTTTAGTTTTGAATGGGGAATACTTGTGTAAAGGGTAGAAAAATCAATGTTTCAAAAAGTGATTTTTAATTCATTTTTTATATCGCTTGATCACCTTATATAAAAAATATTCTAGTGACGTGGTATAATACCGAAAAGCGAATAATTGCCAGATACCTTCAAAACGTTTAATTGGAGACAGAAATATATGCAGAACCCTGTTTATTTGGCAAGGATAAAATGTGAAAAGACATCAAGAAGGTTTGATTTCAAATACAAGGTATTCATTTCTATTTAGATTCTTGGTCATCTCATTTTATCGTATTCGTAAATTGTCATTTGATCGAAAAGACACCTTGATGAGGCACAGAACTATACTTGGGCTATTTTAAGGCTTGTCATTTTGTAAATATAGTCAAAGACATTATCATGACCGCTAGATGTAATGGGTTGCTCTCTCATTTTTGTATATCCGCACTTATCCTTTTGCTACTTCCCTAATAAAAAGAGGAGCGTACATGTAATAGAAAATTTTAGAATATCAATAACTAGTTAACAGCTAATTCATTCAAGATCCTTTCCTCATTTATCATATTTATATCATTTGACATTCCTAGCATTAAACAACTTGTTCTCTTCTAAGTAAATACTTGTTGTACAATTATATGACAACAAACTGATGTACATCGCAAAAACAAATGCTAGAGAAGAAAACGAAAATTAATTTGTAAATACATTCTAAATTATAAGAAAGTTTCCTAAAACTGACACCATAAACATTCCTGTACTTTTGGTGAAAACTCACGAAAGATACCAAGGTTATATTTCAACAAGCCAGAAGCACATTTTGTTTACATAGGACTCATCCATGGCTCTAGATAGACATATGGAAAGCAAAAGAAATAAAGTAGTTGGAAAGTATTGAAAACCAAAAAGCCAAAAAGGTGTGCAAAATCAGACTTCTATCATCTATGCCAGGGCTAGAAAATCCTACGTAATTCGGGTGATTTTTACGCTGTGTAAAAAGCAGCTTAACGGAAATGGCCGTCTAAATGATATTCGAAGTCAGCATAGAACACTGAGCTGGTGATATCCTCGGGGCCGAAACTTCCACTATCGGTTGCATAAACACAGAGGTTGAAAAAAATAATTGTAATAAATTTTCTTATATCCTTATAGCTCAATCCATCTTATAAGTGTCACATATTTTTCATACATTGTGTTTGGTAATGTATTATGTGATTTCACATGTTTCATTTTAAAAAAAAATTCAAAAAAAGATGTGACAAAACTAGTATTAAAAAAGTTTTGAAGTAATGTAATGTAGAAAAATGTTAAATAAAGGCAATAGTATTATACCGCTGTTCAATAGTCATAAATCGATTTAACTGAAACAAATCCGGGTCACAAATCAAAACCGAAGGAAATACATCAACTATAAGAGGAAAACAACAGAACAACAGAAACACTGAACTGTTACAAAAACAAACGCCAACATACATAGAAACGGACTATTTGATAAAAAAACTGCCATATTCCTGACTTGGTACAGGATATTTTAAGAAAAGTGATGGGTTGAACCTAGTTTATGGCTAGCCAAACCTCCCGCTTACATGCCAATGTTGAAAATACCGCTAAAATGAAAACATTACGTGACAGGAAAACAGTCCATTAAAATGCAAGAACACTCAGGACAGAGAAATACATATATACATAATATAATAATACGTTTCAACATGTTAACCACAGAATAACAACGAACACCTAAAATTAATTTACGACAGTACATAAGTACAGCACAATAAAATTATAAACTGTCCGTCAAACAAATGTAACAACGCCACAAAAAGTGACGTCACAGGAAAATTTCTAAAAATAGAATATAAAATTGGGATTAAGCTTGTAAAGGCGTTATTTGATGTATTTTCTAACAAGAATATTAATATAGAATTGTGTTAGTAATGGTGTAATTATTTGTGCATTAGGTGGAAATTTAACAGAATTATGCATAAACAATTTTCAATATATAGGTGATAAATATTTTGTATCAGTCTAAGTAAATAATTTACATATTCTATGCAAATCTCATGATTATTTGTCGAGAATATCGACAGATATAAACAGTACATTCCTCATACAAGCGAACACAAATAAATAAACAACAATTCAAAAAGAAACGAGACAAAAATACAACGTCGAACATATATACTGTTATGTTATTTCTCAAAATGTTTAATGACATCTATAGACTACTATTTTATTGTCTTCTGCAGTCATAAACTAAGTCAAGCAAGGTCTGATGGACATTGCTTTCTTTATTCATAATTTAATAGCTATACTTAATATTTCAGTCATAGTGAGAAGAAACTGCGTAAGAAAACCAGTATATATTTCTAAATTCTAAATCACAACATTTCCCCTTTTTGCCAATTTGGAATGATCAAATCCTTTTCAAAGGAATTTCGAATGGTTAATTTTTTCACATGTATAAACTACTGGTATTAAAGACAAAAATAAAATATGTCTACAGGAGTGGTGATAACAATCATTTGAATTTTTCGTAAGACATATTTTTAGACTTCTTTTTATCTTGCAATTAGTTCCATTTCATTATGAGCTATAGTATAGATGTCACGACTAGTTTCCAGTTTTTGATGTCGAGGATAAGATGGTATGGTATTTCCTTTCAGTTCAGGAAATGAAGTTGCTATTTTGTGTACCCTAATCATATCAATAAACTAGAACACTGTGACTGGCAAAAAAACCTCTAAAGAACGGATACACTCTTTCCAAGATGAAACTTGAATCATATGTACAGATAATATATGTATGTACAGGTGAAAAAAAGGAGAATGTTTTTATTCAAAGACCGAAATGCATATTCTCTTAAATGTCGAAATATTATAATGAAAAGACTTGTAGATAAAACATGTTTTTATAATGTTACTTATGCTTTTAGATCTTTAATTTGAAAGTGAAGTTTCTTGTCAAGTGACGGTGAAAATATTGAAATTGTAAAATTACCCCTATGACATAGGGAGAACAAACGTACAGAAATTAAGAAATACATGATTAATGTGCCCATAATAACATGAATGTATAGACAAATGGGTACACACTTCGATAGAATATCATGTATGATAAGTCTTATAAAAGATGCCAGAAGGTTGTTAAATGATTGAAATAGTTGACTAAACATACCTGTTGTTTCTATAGACGTCACATATGTGGGCCGTGTCGGCACTGTATCTGTTTGAAGAAAGATATTCAATTATACTCAAATAATTTTGTTGGACTGATATAAATAAAAATGTTATTGTTAGAACAAAGCTGTAGAGACAGTTTCAAGTTTTTTTACATTAGGTTTATGTTTTGATACACCAACCTGGAGTTGTTTTTTATGAATGATTTACATAGCTTGAGCCGAGGTAAATCGGCATAAACGACGTCATAGAACAATCGGTTCTTACTATGACGTAATAACATAAGCATTGTAAAAGAGTAAATTTACGGGAATGTGCACGAATTCGAAAGTCGTCTATTGGTCAAAATAACTTTTGTTTGTGTTTCTCCAAAATAAAGACTTTTTTGTGCTAAAACACATATTTTTCAAGAAATCTAGGGTATTGATATCATGTTGTGATTTCGTTCATCAATTTGTACTTCCCAATCCGACCACTGTTTTCTATTTGAAATCGTACATTTTGTTTATGATTTATTTGGAGACCTACTTATTCCAAATGTTCGCTATTGTAATGATGACGTATCGTATGCATTGAAAAACAACTAATTCTTGTTTACGTAATTGCAAACTGTGCCTGACAAAAATATTAAACTATAAAATGAAGAAATAGTAAAAGAATCAGGATCTATAAAATCGAAATGAATTTGAAAATTTAAAAACTTGCTCTGGTTTTATCATAATTTTGTTGATGTCAGAGACATAAAATAAGCTTTAGACATAATGTTTTGAACTATTGATTCAGATAGCAACAGTGTTAATAATTAGAGATTGCTAAGTGCCACAATAAGGCTTCAACGATTAAAAAAAAACATGTCACATATTCGTTTATTTTGACATCCTCCGCAGTAATGAGCAAATGTTTTAATGTAGAAATTAATGAAAGGTACTTTGTTTTAAATATTTTTTTTTAAATATTTATAAACGGTTTTTGATCGAGAAAAGTTTGTAATCGTAAGCGGGTTCAAATTAACCATAAATGCAAGTCTGGTCGGTTATTTTGCACTAGGTTATTATAATAATTTCAATTATTTGCCTTATATTGTTTACCTTACTTACTCTCCTGCATTTGCAATAGTGCTTGTGTTTAACATCCACGGTTCCAAAATTGAAATAAACATACTTAAGCATAAAAAGACTCCTAATTCGTTTTAACCAAACTCAAAGTGTAATTCCTTAAGATACAGATGAGAGGCGAAAGATATCAAATTGACAGTTAACTCATTATTCGAACACACACTGAGAATGCCATGGGGAAAAAAATGGAATGTGCAAACCGGACTGTCAACTTTCAAACTAACTCAAACGTCAACCTGACTTTGTTCAGATTGTGAACTCGCTGACAAGTTAATAATATCAATAGCTAATGTTTATTAATTGCTTTATTTATTGTAACGTTCTATATTAAACTTTATTTGTATTTTCAGCTTTTTGTGTAAACAGAAAAAAGTATAACTAAAATACTAAACTCCAACGCAAATCAAAAAAGGGGAAGTCCATAAAAACTGACAGAATCAAACGATATCAATCAACGGAACTAGTGAAAAACAACTGCCATACTCCTGACTTGGTACAGGCATTTTCATTTTCCGAGGAAAATGATGGGTTAAGCCTAGTTTTTTAGCTAGCTAAACTTCCCATTTTTGTTTATAGTTCCGTTATATTGACAAAATTGGGTAACCAACACAAACAGACATAATAGGTTAATTTGACAATTATTGGGATCAAGCATTCAAACTCTGGAAACATGCATCACACAAATACAACGCAACTGACTAAAAATATTAAACAAAAATTAATCTTACAAAGACGCCGACAAAAAATGTGTAGTAAATAGCAATAACTCATGATGGATGACAAGACCAAACTTTTGTACGTCAGACGCGCGCTTCGTCTACAAAAGACTCATCAGTGACGTAAATTAGACATTAATGTCAATAACAAAACAACAGTGTGTGGCGTTGATAGTACAAAAAGTAAAATAACATAAATACCGAACTCCTTGGAAAATTTAATACGGAAAATCCCTTATCAAATGGCAAAATCAAAGCTCAAACACATCAAACAAATGGAAAACAACTATCTTATTCCTGACTTGGTACAGGCATTGCCTTATGTAGAAAATGGTGGATTAAAAACAAAATGGTCTAAATAGTAAAGATTAATTATTTACAAAGACAAATTAAAGAACACTATAACACGTAATTAAGATGATAAACAACAACGTCAGTACCTAGAATCTATACTTCAAGACCATCATGTATTATTTGTGAAGTTGATACGGAATATTTATCAACAAGGTCTTAGTATCTGCCGATGAAGTTTTTTTTAGAAAAAGACGAGACGTTCTTTGACATAACCCTGGTTCATCAACTTTCTGTTCAGACACTGGTGACGTTTTATAAAGTCTGAGTCAGGCAAAAAAATTAATAATAAGAAAGAAAAAAGAAAAGGAGAAAGCTAGGCATGCAGGGGTAGAAAAACCTTTCATTTTCATATCATGAATTATGTAAAGCATACTTCGAATAGTAATTAATGTTGACGTGCAGCTTCTGTAATTTTATTTCAACGTTAGATATTGAACTCTCTGCCTGATTACCATCGCCAGTAAACCAGCATTTGGTTCTGCAATTATTTATTTTCCGCGAAAATGAATTATTGATAATGGATTTTTTTTCCACAATATCAGTGCACAAAATTCGAATTCTTCAACTTGCTAGGTCAATATTATTAATATAAGAAGCATTCAAGCTCACGCAGGAGTATCAAATCACCCCACAATTGGTGTGCATTTCTTTTTCAAATAAAATGAAGATTTGAGGCATTTTCTAGTGTTTTGCTAAAAACCTGCTGCTATTTGAAAACAAAACATGTTTTTGGATGGATGGAGGATTTGTTTAGTTTAACAGCAAGTGGGCTTTATTTCAGCTTTATAATGGAGAGCAGTTATGCGATCATTCCATTCGAATGTTAAATGGACAGGACAAGACCTTGGCAGACTGACAATTTGATTCCTTGATACTATGAATTTTCACGGAGTATTGTGGGAGTACTTCGGACTTTGAAAAAAGACGGTCGCACAATTAAACATGGTAAAGGTGGCTCAAGAGTATTAAATTTGTATCATTATTGATTCGGGTGTTATGCATTTATAAAATTAACATATTAATTATTCAATTTCAAGAAAGTAGTCAAGCGATGGGATCTTATTGGCATCTAAGTCTTGGTGGCACAAGAAAGGTCGAACTAGCATTCGCAGACAGTAACTAGGTTGTAACCTTAATATTACAATCTTCGGCCCCTGGTCCCCTCTCCCATTACCTGGGGGCCTCAGTCAGCGGCCCACAAACCCCTGCCTCGTCTGTTTCCGAGGCCTAGTTACGGCCCTGTGAGTAGCAGCTGCTTGCTCTTGAATACCGAAAGAGTTGGGAAATGTATATCCCATATGCAGGTCAAGTCGCAATATTGCTTTAAGGGGGGGGGGGGGGGCGAATTTATAATTTCAAAATTAAAATCGTCTCGTTTGTCATAGATTCTGGTACTGAGATGACCGCTTATTTCAAATTCGAGGTAGAAGTCTAAAAATGAGGCGGAGAAAGCCGTGTCTGTTGTTTCCTGAATTTCTAGTTCTGGATGATATATTAATGGAACCCAATCAGAAATGATTGGATTGTTTATGGAAAGAGCATCATCAATATATCTGAATGTGAAATTAAATTATCTAGCTTATTTGATCTTCTCCGACTCATATGAAAATAAGAAGAGGTCGACAAGGAGAGGCGCACAGTTCCTTCCCATAGGAATGCAGACAATTTGTTTAAAAAGTCTACCTCCAAATTCAACAAATATGTTGTCAATAAGAAACTGCAGCATACTGATCACTTGTTCCTCTGTGTAGCATGTTTTACCTTTTTGTTTACTATTAACAAAATATTCCGTATGGTATCACAAAGCAATAAATTTATAGTGTATGCTACCATTTTTATATTGAAAAGCATTGGGGATTATTTCTTTCAGACAGATTTTTAATTTCACATGGGGAATGGTGGGATACAGGGTTGAAAAATCAAAAGTTTTGATAGATCGATATATGAAATTATCTAGAAGTACTTTAGAGTTTTTTAGAATCCACATATGGTTAATACCACTACCCCAGTAAACAGTTTCACAGTATTTCTAAAGACCCTCTTTCATTACGGACAGAACTTTTGTCAATCTAATAGACAATTCCTTTGTAGAACATGCAGATGAGCCGGCCGTGTACTGTTGTTTGTACGGAATCATGTGAATTTTAGGTATCCAATACAAACAAGGTAAGTCCTCAGATTTTATGTTCAATGTTATGTTCATTGAAGCCATGAAGGATTTATGAATCCCAAAAATCTCATCCTTGTCAAATGATATGTTTTTGTATGTGGGATTCCATGAGTGCTCTTTTATTCCTAATTCTTTTACAAGACACTCGTAGTAGTACGATTTACATACAAAGGCAATAGTATTTGAGCTTCGCCCTCACCCCATATGGAATTTACTGACCCCATATATATCGTATTAGGTCACAAACACACTATGACACTAATAATGTTTCAAAAGACTACCACAGACTGCTATAATTGAATGTTAAACCTCCTTAATCTTTCAATACCCATAATAATGGCCTTAAGTTAAGCAAAGCATAAACACTTTTTTTATAGATAAAACAATTCCAGATTACAGATGTGCGATATATTTGACTAGGGGACTTTAATGTAAAAGCAACACCGTCTACTTTAAGATCAGGCGTAGATAAAGCACCTTTCAATATGATTTTTCGACAAGCTTTTACGGCAAAAAAAAAACCTTGCCAGTTGTATATGCAAATAGATGTAAACCAATGACATTTCTGTTTTTGATACACAGAACATTTCTTCAGTATAAGCAGTAACTGTAAAACAATGTGTATTAGTTCAAGATCTATATTAAAATACTGAACTTGAAATTACAGTAACTTTTTTTTAATATTATAGGA